GGGGCAGGGGGAACCACACGAGGGTAAACTGAAGGCGGAGGTGGGGTGGGGACCGAGGTAGGGACATAGGGCATAGCAGGAGGTGCGACCACGTCCTCCTCCTCCACCTCCTCTAGAGTGATCGGGAAGAAAGAGGGAAGGGGCTCATAGGGCATCGGACGCCCCCCATGCTCCTGCTGATGCCAAGCCTTCCATCCTGCCAAAGACATGGTCTCATAGAACACAGCTTCCACAGTGGTGATGAGGCGGTTGGACTCCAAGTCCAGCACGGTCCAGCCCTTGCTCGCTGCTGACACCCCCAAGTGCAACCCCCAGCGAGCCTTGGGCGCCAGCTTCCCCCCACGTTGCGACTGCGGCACCATGTACTGCAGCATGCAGCCCCAGACACGCACCATACTGACATCGGGTTTGCGTCGAAAGGCGAGCTCGTACGGCGTCACACCAGAGGGCAGCGAGGCATGCTCCACGCGGTTGCGCACCCAGACGGCCTGCGCCAACGCCAGGTGCCACCAGTGATGCTGCACACCCATATGCAGCAACATCGTCCGCACCGCCTCCACAATGCTGCGCATCTCCCTCTCGGCCATTCCGTTCTGCTCCGGCGTATACGGGCACGTGAGGTCGTGGATGATCCCCTTCTCGTCGAGGAAGAGCGTGAAGTCGTGGCCCAGGAACTCACCACCCCGATCAGTGCGCAGCGCCTTCACCGTGGTCTTGCACTGCCTCTCTGCCATCGGGAGCCACTTCTGGAACGCCGCCAATGCATCGCTCTTCTTGGCCAAAGGGTAGGCCCAGACGAACTGCGTCTTGCGATCTTTCAGCACCAAGAAGTAGCGGCTGCCATCCTTAGCTGCTTCACGGAAAGGGCCACACAGGTCAGCATGCACCACCCCGAGCAACTCATCCTCCTCCTCTCCCACAGAAGGAAAGGTATGACGAGTGATCTTTCCCCCAACACAGGAGATACAAGGTATGCCTGACTTGCCCCCCTTCTCCAAATCCAAGCCCTTCACTGACCCGTGAGCCGCTGTGCGCTCGATGGCATCAATACCAACGTGTGCCATACGCGCATGCCACAGGTCCCCCTTAGACCGCACGCCCGTCGCCAAGGTACGAAGTGCCACCGTTTCGCCTTCCTGCTGCTGCGTCGAACACGGCTGGAATTTCGTGCAGAGAACACGCCCCTTGAACTCCGCACGACCAAGGAGCGATCCATCTGGTGCCCGCAGCAAAGTCACATCCCCGGCATCCAGCAGCTGCACACCACTATCACGCAGCTGCCCAGCAGAGAGAAGACTCGCCTGCACTCCTGGTACGTACAGCACGTCCGGCACCAAGACACGCCTGCCCCCCTCTCCAAGAAGAGCGACTGTGCCCCGCCCCTGCACCTCCTGAAGAGCGCCGTTGAAGCCGGTAACCTGTTTAATACTGCCGCCGCTGCTCATCTCCACAAAGGCAGAACGATCTCCCATGAGATGGTGGGAGCATCCGCTATCAAGCAGCACGACGCTCGGGTTCGCCTTCACAGCAGTTGCAACAGCCTGTAAGCCCTCCCCGGCCTCAGGCTCTAGCACAACGAGAGGAGTCTGCTCCACAACGGGCTTCACCATCGCACATGATGACTGCCCGCTCCCCTTAGAGCCATCACCCCCCTTTCCGCTGCTACCTCCAGAACCCTCTCCACTAGTGTCTGCCTCCTTATCCGCCCGCTGCTGACAGTACTTAGCAACATGCCCTGTCTGTCCACACACATAGCACTTCCTCTTGAAGCCCCCTTTCCCCCCCTTCGGCTGGCCATCCTTACCCCCTTTCCACTTCTCCCCTCCCCCACCAACCCCACCCCCAGTCTTAGGCTGCTGCTGCTGTGCCGTAATGGGAGGGGAAGGGAATGAAGTCTGCTGGAATTGGGGCTTACCCTTCTTGGTAAAGACCTGGTTAGCCTAGGGAAGGAATTGGTCCTTTCGTCCCTCCGCCGCCAGCGTACATTCCTCCTCGATGATGTAGCTAGCGAGGGTGTCCTCGTCCAACTCCTTGCGCACCTGCGGCAACTTCAGCATCCTGCGTAAGAGGTTGTACTGCTGCGGCAACCCCTTCACAACGTGAGTAATGTACGACGCCTGCGAGTAATCTACGCCGGCCATCCTCAGGTTCACTAGGATCTGCTGCGCACGGTTGCAATAGGACGTAGCGGACTCATGCTCTCCCATCTCGAGGTTAGTGAGCGCCTGCTCTAGCTGACCTATGTACAGGTCGTCCTTCGCCATATACGTGCGCATGATAAACTGCCATGCCTGAAAGCCGGCATCTACCTTGAAGCGGCACGCCTTAAGGGCGATCTGTACGGTTGGGGAGCAGCATCGGGAAATGGTGGTGAACGTTAGCAACTGCATCGCGCGGAACTGAGAGAGATGTGCAAGTGCACGCGCTGGTGGAATGGGAGTGGTGCCATCTATGAATCGCTTTAACTGAGCGATCTCAAGCTGCGGCTCGATCGATTCTATCCACGTCGACAGGTCGTGACGTCCTTCTAATGGCCTAGGGACGACGATCTTGTCTGGAGTGAATTTGAAGAAGCCATAGTTGGGGGCTATTCCCTCGTCCCTCGACATCGATCCAATCGGGGTAACGCCCGGCATAGCCTCACTATCGTACTCTTCCGCATTTCCTCCTCCAGCAACGCTCCGCCGTCCTACATTCGCATGCTCTCGTGACGCTGCTGCACGATGAACACGCTCCTGTACACCGCCGACGCTAGCCGTACTAAACCGAGTTGGTCCTCGCAGGACCCCACGCGACATCAACCCATCAAGCTCCTCGTCATCGCTATTTCCGCCATAGCCAAGCGCCCTATCCTTGGGTCCGAGAACGTAACTGGAGGGAAATTAAGAGAGGTTCAACATAAATTAATGAGCGCCCTTCACTAACGCCGCACGCCAAGGCGAGTATACTAACGAACGTCGACGGAAATCTATGCGTGTTCGTTCCACGCTCACCGCACCATGAAGGAATATATTAGAGAGCGTAGCGATAGCGAGAGAGTCTCTGCTATGGGAATGATGTTGCGCCAGCAACTTGGTAGAGTTTTGGTAGCGTTTGCCTCTAAGGACTTTGTGAGAATTGAAGTAGCGTTTGGGCCAAGTAGAATTGCAATATCAATTGTCAAACACACAAGCAAACACAAACATATATAGGCAAGCAAGAGTTGCACAATTGTTGCGTGGCGCTGCGAGTAACCCAACCCACACGAAAGTGCTGTGCAGGTGGGTGAACGCGCCCCGCACATTTCCAGCCCAACTCGGCACCGGAATGTCTCACCGTGCACGCTTCTCCTGCCAACACAGCAACTGAGCAGCGTGCCTCACAAGCAAGGCACCTACGACCCCCAAGACTCGTCATTCCTAGCACCGATTCCGCCGAGTTCGCTGCAGTAGCTCACAGTCACCCGTAGTCACTAGTGACCGCCACCGAACTCGCGAGTCGGTGCCGAGTAGACTCAGTCGTTAGGCGCCGACCTGCCAAGTCAAAGGTCATCGAGGGCCCTTGCTGTCGTAGGGCCCTCTAACACTGATCGCAGTCCTCCCCCACGCCTACTGGCATTTCCTCAACGGAACTCTTAGATCCACTAAGACCTGTGGCGCCCCGCTCCCTCTCCTCTACTACTTCAGCCCAAACCACTCCGCAGACCCAGACTGTAAGCGCAACAGCGAACGTAACTGGATTACCCAGTATGGGTTCACTCAGGGGCTTCATCACAGTGACATTCCGCAGTACTGGCATCCCCCGCCTATAGTGTACCGAACGCGGGAGGTGGGGCGAGTGTGGCTTGATGTTCCTGTAGGGGGCGCTCCGCTTGTGATTATAAGCAACAAATATGAGATGGAATGGGAGGAACCACCCGTTAATTTTATTGACGTCCCAACCCTCGTTAACATCACTCGCGAGTTTCTCGATAAGAGGTATTATGTGGTGTATAACCGGCCTGGGGATTCAATCAAGACAGATGTGGGGCAAGAATACGTGGCTGATTTGGAGGACCATCCGAAGCTGGCTGAGGAGTTTAGTTCGCAGGCTCGGTTCCGAACCATGCAGCAGATTCACGAGGCGTGGCCGAGCCTAAGTTTTAACGAGGTTCAGTTTAGAATGATGGCCCGGAGCTCCTGTTTTATAAGTGTCCAAGGGGGAACTTCTGTACTGTCAAGCTACTGGGGTGGGAAGAATGTCATATTTTTTCGCAAGGGAGGGAAGGGTGGGGGGAGGTCGTATGAGAGGTTCTACCATAGACTGTCAGGGGCGAAGATAGAGGTAAGTGAGACGTATGAAGTGCTGCAGGAGAGAGTGCATTATATGATTCGAGAGGACCGGTGCCAAGCAGTGTGACTACCGGTATTCCTGAGACGCCTCAATCAAGACTATGATTTGTCACTTACATAGGTACGGTACCTTACCTTCTGTGGCTTCTAACCTTTACTGAAGCACTCCCTACTTGTGAAATGACGGCCCTTAATGTCCTTGCGTAAATTTGTTAGATGTTAGTATAGGCCACTGGCCACTACCAGTGGTGGTGAGAAGTGTAACATAAGCCTGCTCTTTTCATGTCAACTGCTTAAGTTGAGTGCCATTCAGCATCAACAACAAAATATGGGACAGAGAAGCTATTTGGCACCTTGATAACAATTATATACAGCATATTTAACAACTACCTAAACAGAGTTTTAGAGGCAATGCCCCTCCGCCCCTTGTGCCACTTGTGCTCATCTCGCAAGCCATCCATTGCTGCTGAGGCCTTCGGCGTTCCTCCTCCTCCTGCTGCTCTGGCTGTGCTTACTTGTCAACAATCCGCACAAGAGCACGCACCCCAAGACCAGTGGCCGTGGTAGCAACCTCGGGCACTCGCAGCACCCACTGGCCCCGCACGCACCACCACAAAGTACGTCTGCAATCGTGCTTGCAACTCACAGCTGCTGCAACACCGGCTTCTTCTTCTGCTGCTGCTGTTGCTGTTACTGCTGCCTCATTTCCTGCTGCTGCTGCTGCTGCTGCCCGTTCTGCTTCTGCTGTTGCTCCTGCTCCACCCCTTGCTGGACCAGCCTAGGCGGCAGCACAGCAGGCACGACCACACCAGCAGCAGTAGTAGCAATCTCCGGCACCCGCGGCACCCACTGATCCGGCACCATCACAAAGTAAGTCTGCATGGCCTTCCGGAACCGCTTCTTGTAATTCGAAGGGGATATGACCGTCGGAGTAGAGTCCTTGCCCGCCCCGCCACCCCCTAGCAGCCCAGACGCCTTGACCCATGTTTCCAGCTGCTTGTCCCACGTGTAGGGCCGGATGAAGTCGATTATCCCCACCACCAGTGTTGATCGCTCCTCTTCTACCCCCACCAGGAGAGAATAGTCCATTATGGCGTGCTTCTGGGTGTGGGGACGGGGAAGGGAGTAGGTGGGAAAGGTTGGAGTGAGAGGCAAGCCGTTGCTACGACTCTACAAGCAGAGAATAGTAGCATATAATGGCGTGCTTCTGGGGGTCAGGGAGGGGACGGGCGCAGGTGGGGAGGTGCATGGTGTGTGGGGGGAATAAGGGACAACTCTCCACTGGTTCTCATCACCTGCCTGCGTCGACCGCTGCTCCTCTCACTCCCATCCCACCAGCAGCTGCTTGGGGGGCAAACGCCTACCAGCCCACCCTGATTCTCAACCGCTCTCGACTGCTCTCAGCCGCTCTCAACTCCACTCGTCTCACTGCGAGGAAGCGGGTGTCGTTCCACACAGCCCTCTCCAGAAGCTCCTTGGAGGCGGTCAGCTACCCTCTTACCTCAACCGGGCTCAAACACTCTCAACCCCTCTCGTCTCACCGCGAGGAATGCCGTGTCGTTCCACACGGCCCGCTCTAGCAGCTGCTTGGAGGCGAACATCTACCCAACCCACCTGATTCTCACTCAACCACTCTCAACCGCTCTCAGCCCCTCTTGTCTCACCGCAAGGAACGCCGTGTCGTTCCACACGGCCCGCTCCAGCAGCTGCTTGGATCGCTTCCCCACGAAGATGGGCGACGTGGGCATGGCCTCTAGGAGATTTTCGTCCAGCAGCACCTGGGATGAGGGGAGGGGGAGGTGAGGAGGGAACGGGAAGAATGGGAGAGAAGGCAGAGAGGAGAAAGGACGATGGGCGACGTGGGCATGGGTTCTAGCAGGTTCTCGTCCAGCAGTACCTGGGGCGAGAGGAGGGAGGAACGAGGAGGGTGGGGAAGAATGGGAGGGAAGGCGGAGAGGAGAAAGGAAGATGGGCAACGTGGGCATGGCTTCTAGTAGGTTCTCATCTTACAATACCTGGGGCGAGGAGAGGGGGGGAGGAGGGAAGAGAATGGGAAAGAGACGGGGGAAAAGGGGACTTGATGTGGGAATGATTTATCCCAAATGCATGTACAGGAAAGCCGTACCACAAGTGTATGTACAGGTCCCCCCACCCTACCCCACCCTACCCCACCCAGCCCCTTGCGCACGCACCCTGCTCTTGGAGCGGTCTGGGTTGTATCTGGAGCGACTTTTGAGACGTCTCAAAAGTCAGGTCCCCCCATCCCACCCCACCAACCCACCCAGCCCCATTCGTACCCTGCTCTTGGAGCGGTCTGCATTGTATCTGGAGCGACTTTTGAGACGTCTCAAAAGTCAGGTCCCCCCATCCCACCCCACCAACCCACCCAGCCCCATTCGTACCCTGCTCTTGGAGCGGTCTGCGTTGTATCTGGAGCGTCGAGAGCCCTTGAGATCGTAGAGCTTGGTGATCCGACGGCCGTAGAGCAGGTTCTCCATGACCATCACGTCCATAGTCACGCCCTTTGCTGTCACCTGCTCCACACACGCACGCACGCACGGGAAGCAAGGGTTATGGAAGCAAGGCGAAGAGAGGAGAGAGAAGAGAGCAAGAGCAGAAGGCAGGGAAGAGAGGACAGAGAGCAGGTTCTCCATGACCATCACGTCCATAGTCACGCCCTTTGCTGTCACCTGTGACACACACGCATGGGAAACGACAGCACAGAGAGGAAGGAGCAGAGACGAGAGAGGAGAGAGGAGAGAGAAGAGGGGAGAGAGGAGAGAGGAGAGTGGAGAGAGGAGAGAGGAGAGAGGAGAGAGGAGAGAGGAGAGAGCAGAGAGCAGAGAGCAGAGAGCGAAACCATTCGGAGAAAACAAACTTGTCAAGACTGGTCGTTTTTACAGAAAGTGAAAGAGAGAACCCTTGGATACTGAATTGCTTGAAGCAATCGCAAGGTTGAAACAAGAAACACGCAATCTTCATCCCAAGGCAGCAACGCCCACAAATCCCTCACCTACCACGCCTTACCATCTTCCACCCACACACACCCCTCTTGACCGCACCTGGTAGAGGCCGAGGATCTTGGCGAGGCAGGAGGGGTTGCCGGACTCAATGGCATCAAAGAGGTGCTTAAAGTAGTCGTTGGCAAAGTCCAGGAACGCCAGGATCTCCTTGCGTTGCACCTTATAACGCGGATGAGGGAGATTGGAGGGAAACACAAAGGGTATGGCTGTGAGTTGAAGAAACATAGGAGAAATTTGCAAAAAAAAAAAATGGAAACAAAAAAAAAAGTGGGCGGAGGAGAAGAGAGCGCAGAGGCGAGGAGGAGAGGGCAGAGGGAGGGCAGAGCCAGAGGACAGAAGAGGTCGCCCCACCCACCCACCTGTTTGATGACGAAGCGGTCGTCCGCAGTCTTGGCGAAATACACGGAGCTCTTGCCTCCCTCGGCACTCCAGCGCTTGCAGCGGCACAGCGACCGCACGAACTCCACATCGCCACTCCCGTCCACCACCCCTTCCCCTGCCGCCGCTGCCCCTGCCGCCGCTGCTGCCCCTGCTACCCCTGCTGCCCCTGGTGTTCCCGCTGCTGCCCCTTCTCCTGCATCCCCTGCAGCCTTCTGCTGGCCGGATGAGCCAGCAGCTGGGGCGGGGGCAGGAGGGAAGGGCGAGCAGCACTTGCGGCGGAGCGCGTCAAACTGCTTGGCGAAGTAAGCTGTCACCTGGAACGATGCTGCAGAGCCGCTCCCCCCACCAATGCTGCCAGCAACCCCACGCCGACGACTGCTGCTACTGCCAGAACCTACAGGCGTCGATGCGCCGCTGCCCATACCGCCGCCACTGCTGCCACTCATGGCGCCAATGCCACCAATGCCGCTGCTGACGCTGCTGCCTGTGGTGCCGGCGGGGTTGGTGGTGGGGCCAGGGAGGAAGGGCAGGGCGGGGAAGGGCAGTGTGTCGTCGCCTCCCCCCACTGTGAAAGCCACCTTCACATGCCGTTTCTCCCGGGATAGCAGAGGGTCCTCCTGTGATGGCAATGGCGCTGCTTCTTCCCGGGACACCACAGGTATTGGCTCTTCTCGGGATGGCAATGGCGCTGCTTCTTCCCGGGCTGGCACTGACAGTGGCACTGTATCACCCCCGGCTGGTGGCGCTTCTGGCTGTGCTTGCAACGGTTCCTGGTGCGATTGCAACGCTTCTGGTTGTGCTTGTGAAGGTTCTTGTTGTGATTGCGAGGGTTCTGACTCTGTTTGTGAGGCTTCTTGTTGCACTTGTTGTGACGTCTCCGGCTGTGCCTGTAACGGTTCGTGCTGTACAGAGGATGCTGCAGGCTGATGGTCTTGCTGCGACAGCCCAGGACCAGCGTTTCCCTTGCATACCCCCTCCTCGTCTGCCTTGCAAACTCCATCCTCCTCCCTGGAATCAACACATCTGCTTCCACCACTAGCGCCACTGCCCTCAGCAGCAGCACCATCACCAGCAACACCAACACCAGGACTAGCACCATCCCCCTCCGCTCCTGCTGGCGTTCTCAGCTCGGCCCTAGATCCACCACCCTCCACTCCCTCGCTATCTTCTCTACCTGGCTCCACACCTCTGCTCGCCAACCCAACCCCACTACCACCAACCCAATCCGTGCCATCCCCTTTCCCACCACCATCCCCGCTCTCTCCCCTACACGCTCCCAACCCCTCTGCACCACCTACATTGCCATTAGACGCTGCACCCATTCTTGCAGCACTGTCTGCTGAAGCAGCATGCAGCTCATGGCTCTGCCCTTTGTTGTGCGTCGAACCGCCACTACCAAAGGCCGCTGATGCTGCTTCATCGCTAGCTCTACTACACTCCCGATACTCGCTACCGCCTCCGCCATCCCCCCCGCCAAGGCTTCTGGCCTCCGCAGCCCCACACACTTCTCCACCTGCTGCCGCTGCTGCTCGAGCACCTGAGGTCGCAAGCTCTGTTCCACTTCTCTCTCCTACTCTTGTAGTCCGATCGACTCCTCTTCCCTCTCCTGCTGTTGACTCCTTCCCTGCTGCCTCTGCAGCTGTGGACTGTACATCCATTGCTGTTCCCGCCTCTCTGCTGGCTGCGGCGGGTTCTAACGGCCTGGTAGCAGCACCAGCCGGAGAGGCAACGGTGCGACAGGTGTTCTGCGGGAGGGAATCTGCCGGAGGGGCAGCACCGCTGCCAGTCGCCTCTTCTTTAGCTGCTCCTTCTGTGCCCGCTGAACCGGCGCCTCCGGCTGTCACTGCTGCTACTGGACTTCCTTGTCCTGCTGCTGCTGTTGCTGCTGCTGCTGTTGCTGCTGCTGTTGCTGCTGCTGCTGTTGCTGCTGCTGTTGCTGCTGCTGTTGCTGCTGCTGCTGTTGCTGCTGCTGTTGCTGCTGCTGCTGTTGCTGCTGCTGCTGTTGCTGCTGCAGCAGCTGGTGCTGCTGCTGCTGCTGCTGCTGCTGCTGCTGCTGCTGCTGCTGCTGCTGCTGCTGCTGCTGCTGCTGCTGCTGGTGCTGCTGCGCCTGCTGCTCCTCCTCCTGCTGCAGCATCTAACTCAACTGCTGCCACCGCCGCCGCCGCTGCTGCTGCAGCTGCAGCTGTTGCAGAGGCCTGCCTGACCAGCTCACCCACTGCCTTAGCCCCCACCACCTCTGACTGCACCGCCCTGCCACTCCCACCAATCCCTTGGGCTGATACTCCAGGCCCAAACACACTCCCTATCTGCCCCACATTCACACCCACACCCGCACCAGCACTCCCAGTCCCTCCTCCAGGAGCAGGCGTAGTAACTGCAGCAGCAGCACCAGAAGCAGAGGCAGTTTGAGCAGAGGCACTGTGAGCAGCAGCAGTAGCAGCATGGGAGGTAGCACCGACGACAGTGGCAGCACCGTGAACGGCGCGATAGTACTCATTGGACGAGATGGCATAGGCGATGAGCGACGTGGGCTCGTCCTCATACACGGCTATGATGCGCCCGCCGATGCCGGGTGGCAAGAGGACGTGTGCTCTTCCTAGCAAGGCCGGAGGGTACTGCATGAGTCAACGAAAGGGGGGAACGGGAGAAAAACGGAGGGGCGAGGAGAGGCAATGAGCGACGTGGGCTCGTCCTCATACACTGCTCTGCGATGATGCGCCTGCCTATGCCGGGGGGCAGGAGCACGTGTGCCCAGCCCAGCAACGCCGGAGGGTACTGTGGTGTGGACGGAAAGGGAAGGATGAATTGGATGCGAGTAGGACGACAGGAGAATGAGGAAAAAACATTTGTAAAACCAGAAATGAAAGAACAATCTCCGCACAAAAACAATGACTGAGAGGGAGGAATATAAAAAACGCCTACACGGATGCAAGCATCAGCTTGCAGATGGCTCACAGCACAGCACTTATATGCATGCATGCATGGAAATGCATGGCAATGCAAGCATCAGCTTGCAGATGGCTCACATCACAGCACTTATATGCATGCATGCATGCATGGAAATGCATGGCAATGCAAGCATCAGCTTGCAGATGGCTCACATCACAGCACTTATATGCATGCATGCATGCATGGAAATGCATGGCAATGCAAGCATCAGCTTGCAGATGGCTCACATCACAGCACTTATATGCATGCATGCATGGAAATGCATGGCAATGCAAGCATCAGCTTGCAGATGGCTCACATCACAGCACTTATATGCATGCATGCATGCATGGAAATGCATGGCAATGCAAGCATCAGCTTGCAGATGGCTCACATCACAGCACTTATATGCATGCATGCATGCATGGAAATGCATGGCAATGCAAGCATCAGCTTGCAGATGGCTCACATCACAGCACTTATATGCATGCATGCATGGAAATGCATGGCAATGCATGCATCAGCTTGCTACGCTTACCAGCTTGCCAATGGAAGGCAGAGACGGCACAGCACTGGAGGGGCCGGCCAGGGAGAGGAAGGAGGGCGAGCGGGAGAGGGGCGATAGTGTGGTGGTTGCTGCAGGGTGGTTGATAGGCGTGCCTGCTAGCGACCTGAACTTACCAGCTACCCACCAGCACTTACCAGCTTGCCAATGGAAGCGAGAGACGGCACAGCACTGGAGGGGCCAGCCAGGGAGAGGAAGGACGGCGAGCGGGAGAGAGGCGACGCCGTGATGCTTGCTGCAGGGTGGCTGATAGGTGTGGTTGCAAGGGACCTATTGCTGCTGCCAGCTGTGTTGCAACTGAATGAACGTACTGGTGCCGCTGCTGCCTCCTCAGACGCTGTTGCTGCTGCAGCATCAGAATCAGCAGCACCAGCAGCACCAGCAGAACCAGCAGAGCCAGCACCAGCACTAGCAGCATCAGCAGAAGCAGCGGCGGCAGCTGGCGATGCCTCAATTCCAGGTGTGGTTACAGAAGGGGCAGCAGCAGCAGGAGTGGGGGTGGTGGTGGGCTGCACAGGTGCTGCTTCTGCATCTGCAGACAGCTGATGCTGGTGCTGATGCTGGTGCTGATGCAGAGCAGCTCTGGAGGCAGTCTCAGGCGAGAAAACAATAGGAACTGCTTCTTCACCTGCTGCTGCGCCCCCTGTTTCTCTGTTGATGGCTGTTGCCGCTGCCGCTGCAGCTGCAGCTGCTGTTGGTGTCTCTTCTGCAGCACCCTTGCTCGCTGCCGCTGCCGGCATGCTAGCTGCTGCGGTCGGTGTGCTTGCTGCTGGCGGCGTGCTTGCTGCTGGTGACGGTGCGTCTGCTGCCGTCCCTCCGGAAGCAACCCAGCTACCAGGCAGCGGCGCTCGGGGAGGGAGGCTGGAGCGACGAGAGAGACGCGGAGTGCTGCCAGCAGCGGCTGACAATGCGCCTGGAGCAGCCAATGACAGTACCGGTGTTAGAGCTGGCACAGACACTGCTGGTGCATCTGTTGGAACAGACACTGTTGCTGCATCCACTGGGACGGACACTGCTGGTGCTTCTGCTGAGATGGTCAGTGCTTCATTCTCCTTCTCCTCTCCACCTTCCCTTCCACATGCCCTTCCTCCCTCCTCAACCCTCTCCTCATCCCCTTCCCCTCTCGTTCCACCCTCCTCCCTCCTCTCCTCAACCCCTTTCTCAGTACACCGACCCTCCTCCTCTCGCACCTCCCCCTCTCTGCTCCAGTCTGAGAAGCTATAGCTACCAGCGTCCCTCCCACTCTGCAACCCACTTTCCAATGCCACAGCAGCGCCCTGTGCAGTTCCATCAGCTCCATCCGTCTCATCAGTCTCATCAGTCTCATCAGTCTCATCATTCCCATCAGCCACATCAGTCTCATCAGTGCTGCAGTGAGCATCCTCCCGGCACTCTGCAGCAGCATCAGCAACCACCTCACACACACACTCCCCGTCCATGCCATCACCAGACTGAGAAGCTACCTCCTCCTTCCTTCCCTCCTTTGAATTCTCCGTATCCTCTTCTGCTGTCTTCTCCGCTTCAGCTGCAACCTCTGCAAAACTCACCTCGTCCTTCCTCATTGCATTTCCCTCTTCTTCCTTCTCCTCCTCTTCCTTCTCCTCCTCTTCCTTCTCCTCTACTTCCTTCTCCTCTTCCTTCTCCTCCCCTGCATTTCCCTCCCCTGCCGTCGCCTCACCTGCCTCTGCCCCCTCTGCCGTCGCCTCACCATCGTGCCCCCCATCCCTCACCTCGCCCACCTCGGCCTGCCCCTCCAGCGATGCAGCACTGTTGACGCTGGCAGGTCGGGAGAACGGGAGCAGGAACGACCCCCAGGCGCCTGACAGCGCACTGCTTAGACCTGCTGCCATGCTCGGCCTTACTGCTGCTGGCTCTGCTGCTGCTGCTGCTTCTGCTGCTGCTGCTTGGGTTGGCGCTGCTACTGCTGCTTCTGCACCTGGTGCTGGTGTTGGTGCTGCTGCCGCAACTGTTGCTGATGGTGGTGCTGGTGTTTCTGCTGCTGCTGCTGCTGCCACTGCTGCTGCTGGTGCTGCTGCTGCCAGAGCTACAGTTCCTGCTGATGCTTCTTCTTCAGCAACTGCTGCTGCCGCTAGCGCTGCTCCAGGTAACACAGTTACGATCGCTGCAGACGAAGCAGGTAGAGACATTCCCGGTAAAGCTACTGGCAAAACCGACGGCAAGGCTGCTGCTGGTAGGACCGATGGTAAGGCTGCTGGTAGGGCTGAAGGCAAGGCTGCTGAAACGGCAGCAGGGAAGGAGGCCCACACAGGAAGATGGCCGACAGACAGCGCACGCGGCACCACTGCTGCTCCTGCCACTCCAACCGCCCAGTCAGCAACTGCTGCAGCATCCACTGCTGACTCAGCGACCGCCACGTCAGCTGCCACGTCCGCACCAAGGAGAGCAGCAGGATTAATTGCAGAAGACACTGCCGGAGCTATAGCAGCAACAGCAGTCACAGCAGCCACAGCAGCAGGGGCAGCGCCAACACCAACACCAACAGCAGCAGCAGCAGCAGCAGCAGCAGCAGCTGGAAACACATTCGCCACAGCGCCTTGCATTGCCGGCCTTGTACTGTCAACACCACCCCTGTCTGCTGATGATTCCGGGCTCACAGTCATAGTCACGGGCGCTGTGCTCTCATCATGGTGTGATGAGAGCACAGCTGTGCTCTCATCTGACTCGTCTGCCTCCTTCCCTCCTGCACCTGCCTCCTCCTCCCCACATGCATCTGCTGCACCAATGCTACTTGCGCCCCCCTCTTCGCACTCATTCGCAGCACCAGCATCACCACCGTCTGCATGTGAGGTCGCTGCCTCGCCACTTTCCCCCACTTCTGCCGTATTGCCAGCCTCCATGCTCCCATCCATCTCACTCTCCTTAACGCCCTCTTCTCCCTCCTCTTCCTTCCCTTCCACTCCCTCCTCTCTCATCCCCTCCACCTCATTCTCCTCCTCCTCTCCTCCCTCCCCACCATCAGGCAACACGCTCCCAGCACCATCCTCGCTTCCCTTCTGTGCCTTCCTCCCACTCTCTAACTCGTCTTCAACCTCCTCCTTCCCCGAACCTTCCAAGACTGGCAGAGTGGAACCCACTGGCCCTGATTCCTTTGCCCCTGTTCCCCCTGCATCCGGTTCCCGGGCCTCTGCTTCCCAAGCCTCGGTTCCCCGTGACTCTGTCTCCCGAGCCTCAGCCTCCCAGGCCTTCTTTCGCCGAGCCTCCGCAGCGCGAGCAGCGACATCGAGGGTGGCACCAAACAGGCCCAGGGAATCGTCCCTGCCTAGCACCTCCAGTGAGCCCCCTTCAACCTGCTGCTGCTGCTGCTGCTGCTTCTTTGGGCTGGCTTTTTGTGACGAAACACTGAAAGACACCTGTCCTTTAGATAGGCTGCCACTGCCTTCCCTGCCCTCTGGCAGCCCTGCTTCGTCTCCACCTGTTTCTAAGGCTGCTGCCTCAAGTGCAGCTACTGGTGCTTCGGATAGCATTGGAGTTGCTGCCATGACTGGTGCTCGTTGCTGTGGTGGCTGCTGTATCTCGGCCGCTAATCTTTGCAGCCGCTCCGCCCACTCGGCCAATTGGACGGTCAGATCTCGCCGCACTCGGTTCAGCTCCAGAATGTCTGTCACGGGCTGCCCGGCGGGCAGGTTGAAATCCGGTGCTGCCTGCTGGAGTTTTTTCTGTGGAGGGAAGAGTGGGAGAGACGGAAGAGAATCGCAACAAGTGAGAAGAAACAAAAAGCAGGCGCCACAGCACAGCACAGCACACCACACCACACCACCGCACACACACCACGCCATACCATACCACACCACACCGCACCACACCACAACGCATTATCGCGCTGCAGGGTAGCCTCGAGCAGCGCAAGGCTCGCCCGTGCCTCGGAAAAGCGGCTCGCAGACAGTGGGCTGCCCCCACCGCACCACACCGCACCACACCGCACCACACCGCACCACACCGCACCACACCGCACCACACCACACCACACCACACCGCACCACACTCACATCAAACACCGCCTTATCGCGCTGCAGAGTGGCTTCCAGCAGTGCGAGACTCGCCCGCGCCTCGGGGAAGCGGCTGGCAGACAGTGGCCCACCCGCCGCCAGGCGCGCTGCGAGCGCATCAAGGGCATTCATGATGTCCATGAAGACCCGCTCCGCTGCCTCCGCCACCTGGGGGGGCGGGAGAGGGAGACGAGGGGAAAGTGGTGTGTTAAAGGACACTGCAACCTCGTGGCACCGGGCGCGCTGCGAGCGCATCAAGGGCATTCATGATGTCCATGAAGACTCTTTCCGCCGCCTCCGCCACCTGGGGGGAAGGAGGGAGGGGAGTGAGACTGGGTGTTGAGGTACCTTGCACTGCACTGCAACAGCCAGGCGCGCTGTGAGGGCGTCCAGGGCGTTCATGAGGTCCATGCATACCCGCTCCACTGCCTCCGCTACCTGCAGGAGTGCGTTACAGGGATAGGGCCAGACAGGTGTGTTGAGTACGGTGCCTTGCTTGCACTGCATGCACCCACCACCACAAGAGCTGTGAGGGCGTCAAGCGCGTTCATAATGTCCATGAACACGCGCTCTGCTGCCTCCGCCACCTGTGAGTGAAAGGGCATGAAGGTAGGGAGGGAAGGGGAAGGGTGTATTCATCGACACTGCAACCGCTTCGCATTAAGCGAGCTGTGAGGGCGTCCAGGGCGTTCATGATGTCCATGCATACCCGCTCTGCTGCCTCTGCCACCTGTGGGGGGAGGAGGGAGGGAGCGGCAACAGCGTGTTGAGGTGTGTAGCACTGCCATAACCTCCTGTTGCCAGGCGCGCTGCGAGGGCGTTAAGAGCGTTCACGATGTCCGCAAATACCCGCACTTCTGCCTTCGCCACCTGTGGGGGGAAGGGTAGGGAGGCAAGGGGAAAGGTGGTGTGTTGAGGGACACTGCAACCTCTTGGCACCGCGCGGGCTGCGAGAGCATCAAGGGCCTTCATGATGTCATGATGGTTGAAGCTCAGACACTGTAATACGAACATCAGTTAAAAGAGTCAACGCAGTCAACCGAGTCAACAGCAGCAGCAGCACTCACATCGTTGAACACGTCCACGAGCCACTGCTGCTGCTGGCGGTGGTTGAAGCTGAGGCACTGGGATACGCATTCGAGTCAAACAAGTCAACAGAGTCAACGGCAGCGGAACTCACATCGTTGAATTCGTCCACAAGCCACTGCTGCTGGTGGTGGTGGTTGAAGCTGAGGCGCAGAGGCGGCAGGCAGACGGAGTAGAGGTGCATGGGCGAGTAGGCCAGGCACGCTATCATCTCGCCACTCCTGCTCACACAGACAATGCATGGTACACGGGAAATGACTTGCTGTTTTGTCATTACTAATTTGCTGAGGCGGTTTTTAAGTTACTCATGGACAGACGCTGCCACCCACCGGTAGAAGCGCAGGCAGTCGCAGTGCAGCGAGTGGCCACAGGCAACAGCAGCATATGCAATGCAGGGCAGATGGAAAGCAGTGCCATTCCACTCAGAAGCAATCCCCGATGTACACAACCATGATGCAATTTCCATTCCATGTCATCCCTAAGGTCATTGTCACGTCACCCATGAGGCCACTGGCACCCACCGGTAGAAGCGCAGGCAGTCGCGGTGCAGCGAGTGCCCACACGCCGCCAGGCGCCCCACCACCACGTGATTCGTGAAGGAAAGCTCCAGGAACTTTCCCAGCGACAGCTTGCAGGCCGCCTCGGACATGAGCACGCGGCGCGTGGCCGGCGCCACTCCGTCCACCGGCAAATCTACATGACCGACAAACTGTCAATGACAGGCAGGCATGGCACCCACCGGTAGAAGCGCAGGCAGTCGCGGTGCAGCGAGTGCCCACACGCCGCAAGTCGCCCCACCACCACATGATTGGTAAACGAAAGCTCCAGGAACTTGCCCAGCGACAGCTTGCACGCCGCCTCGGACATGAGCACGCGGCGCGTGGCCGGCGCCACCCCGTCCACCGGGCGGCACTGGCGGCAGCGGTGCCACATCCAGATGCACCGGGCGGCAGCGGGCGGCGGGCACGCACCCCCCACTGCAGCAGCTCCAGATCCAACATGAGACACAGCACAGTCCTGCCCACCACACCCCATATCCGCCTCCCCTGCTCCTGCACTCACTCCCCCTCCCCCGTACCCTCCTCCGCCTCCCCCATAAGCTCCCCTCCCCCCGCTTGCTCCCCCTCCCCCCAGTCCCCCTGCCACTTGAGTGGGCGGGAGGATGTCGTCGGCCTTGCGCACGGAGATGGTGAGGGAGCCCTCTTTGTGTGAGTACACCCTTACGTGGTCCTGAGATGGCATGCCGCACTTGCAGCGCTGGTGAGAGGAAGGGGTATACGCGTGAGAGAAGGGGAACAAGGAGGGAGGGAGGGAGGGAGGGAGGGAGGGAGGGAGGGAGGGAGGGAGGGAGGGAGGGAGGGAGGGAGGGAGGGAGGGAGGGAGGGAGGGAGGGAGGGAGGGAGGGAGGGAGGGAGGAGGGAGGGAGGGAGGGAGGGAGGGAGGGAGGGAGGAGGGAGGGAGGGTATGACTGGATTGCGCACGGAGATGGTGAGCGAGCCCTCCTTGTGCGAGTACACGCGCACATGGTCCTGAGATGGCATGCCGCACTTGCAGCGCTGACAGAAGGCATAGGAAGGGGGCAAGACAGGGGGGAAGGGGCAGCAAGGAGATAGTGAGGGAAACAACAACAACGGCGGTCGCATGTCCCTGTCCCCGTAGTACTTGATGCGCATCAGCTCCGGCGCCTCACACAGCAGCTTGCGCCACACACAGCCTCACACACACACACGCACACACACACAGACACACGCACAACAAGAAGCCCCACTCACCCAGAGGGGGTTGAGCACGAACTGAGTCAAGAAATGCCCCAGCGGCATGTCCCTGTTGCCATAATACTTGATTCGCATCAGCTCCGGTGGTTCACACAGCAGCTTGCGCGACACACAGCGGCTGGACGCCCACACCAGGATCGACTGGTGCTCTGATGGGGGCACACCCACACACTCTCACGCACACATACCTCCTTGCACCACTCTTCCCCCACACCCACACACTCTCACACACACCTCCTCCCCCTACTCTTTCCCCACACCCACACACTCTCACACACACCTCCTCCCCCTACTCTTTCCCCACACCCACACCCACTCCCAGACACACGCAAAGCACACTTCCAAAAAGTAAGAAAGAGGGACCACTCACCCAGAGCGGGTTGAGAACAAACTGAGTCAAAAAGTGCCCGAGTGGCATGTCCCTGTCCCCGTAGTACTTGATTCGCATCAGCTCCGGCGGCTCACACAGCAGCTTGCGCGACACACAGCGGCTGGACGTCCACACAAGGATCGACTGGTGCTCCGATGGGGACACCGGGGCCAGTGGGTGGGCCAGGTGGGGCTGTGGGGTGAGAGGGGCGAGTTGGGACTGTGGGGCGAGAGAGGGGGGAATCGCGAGGGGCTGAGGAGCAAGGTCTTTCCCTTCTGCTGCTGCTGGTGTTGGTGATGCTGCAGAAGGTACTGCTGGTGCTGCCACTGGTGGTGGCGCTCCAGGCGCTGCTTCCGATGTTGCAGATGGGGACGAGTCTGCCATCGGACCCAGCTTGCTCTGTGCCACTGATTCTGTGGCGCCAGTAATTGCAGCCGCAGCAGGAGCAGCAGCAGTGAGGAATGCACCACCACTAGCACCAGCATCACCAACACCAGAAGCATCAGCAGAAGCATGTGGTTCCACTGTATCCGTCCCATCCAGCAGAATCGCAATGCCAACCCCTCCCTGCTGCCGCTGCTGCGCCTGCTGCTGCGGCTGCTGAGGAGGAGGAGGAGGAGAAAGCACCCCTGCAGGCTGCTGGGATTGCTTCAGAGTCAGCTCCTCATCCACCTGTGGCTGCTGCCCTTGTGCTGCTGATGCACGCGGAATCTCCTCACCACCTGCTGCCTCTGCCGATGCCTCTGCAAATGCTTCTGCTGGTGCTGGTGCCACACCATTCCCCTTCGCCTCACCTGGTGATGGGGCCCCTGCTGCATCTCCTGCTGCCTCTCCTGCACCTCCACCTGAGCTTCCTTCTCCTCCTATTTCCCCAGCACCCACCTCCTCTTCCTTTCGACGCTGCCTCTCACTGTCTACTGCACCCTCCCTCACACCCTCCCCACTGTCTTTCACACTCTCCCCACTCTCCCTCACACCCTCTCTTACAGCAGACACCCCACTGGCCCAGAGGGATGCTGATAGCTGTGCGATCCGGCGAGGTGACGGCCTGTTGTTGCTGCTAGTGCTGCTGCTACTAGCGGGTACAGATGTAGCAGGAGGGGGGGCGATAATACCAGCACCAGTTCCGGCTGAACGATCGACGGCAGCAGATTCATCTGTGGAAGCCACATCAGCAGCCATGACGTCAGCAAGCAGATAAGGCTGCGCTGCCAGAGCATCACCGGCCAATGGCGGAGTGCCAGCTGGCAGATGAGAACCAACCGAAGCACCAGGGACCTGTACCTGTGCTCGTCTATCTCGCTCCCCATCTTCAACCTCCCCATTCCCACCACCATCTCCAAACCGTGCTGGAACATCAGCAGCAGCAGATTCACCTGAGAAAGCCATAGCAGGAAGAGGAGGAGGGTCAGCAGCAACGGCGGGAAACGCGGCGGCTGTAGCAGGAGCAGAGTTGACAGGAGCAGCAGGAGCAGGAGGCAACGCGGCACAGAGAGGAGGGCAGGGAGCGATGCCGGGGGGGAGGGCGCCTTCGTCTGCAAGGAAGGAGGTCTCGAGGGCGAGGTGGTAGGAGGCGAACACTGCAAAGTGCATCACCCGCTTCACCCTCTTCAGCTCCGCTGTTGGCGCCCCCATCAGCAGCACCTATGAGGGAAAACGAACGGGGGAAGAAGGTGGGGGGGGAGGGGTGAGGATGAAAGCCCAGGCATGCGAAGACTGCAAAGTGCAACACCCGCTTCACCCTCTTCAGCTCCGCTGTAGGCGCCCCCATCAGCAGCACCTGGTGGGGAGAGTGGGCAGAGGGGGAAAGGGCAAGGAAGGAGGTCTCGAGGGCGAGGTGGTAGGAGGCGAACACTGCAAAGTGCATCACCCGCTCTTCACCCGCTTCAGCTCCGCTGTGGGCGCCCCCATCAGCAGCACCTGGTGGGGAGGGGAGGATGGGAGTGTAGCGGGCGGGGAGGGCGAAGGAAGAAGAGAGAAGGGGTGAGGATAGAAGAACAGGGAGGCGAACACTGCAACGTGCATCACCCGCTCTTCACCCGCTTCAGCTCCGCTGTTGGCGCCCCCATCAACAGCACCTGGCGGGCAGGGGAGGTTAAGGTAAGGAAAGCGTGTTTGAATCTATATATTATAGCATGCGAACACTTGTGACTGTACACCAAGAGTGGTGTACAGTTGGGTTGGTTCAGGCCCTAGTTTTGGGTGTACTGCGGGTAGACACCCTAATTGGGGTGAACCCAAATATCCTAGCTTAGACTTGGCTCCAACCTTGTTGGCCAAGTGGGGCAACCAACTTTGGTTGGTTGGCCTCCATCCCACTAGGGTTGGTTGGATGGTCCTTTCTCCCACTAGCCTACTTGGTCTTGGTGTCTTATGTGCTAGGTTTGGTGTTCTTCTCCAACCTTCTCTTCCTTGTATATCCTTGTGCTCTCTTGAGCTAATGTTAACAATTCTTTCTCAAGTTTCCATAGCTCCTAGTTTCTTTCATGGTATTCAGAGCCTAAGGCAAACGCCCTAGATCCTAGGCCTACTCAACCAAGTATTACCTTTTTTTTTACATCTCCCACCTTCTCGTCGTAATTCCTTCCTTCAGTCGCGCCGGTCAAGTTCACCGTGCGAAATCCTTCCCTGCAGTCCGCACGGCCACATTTCACCGTGCGAAATCCTTCCCTGCAGTCCGCACGGCCACATTTCACCGTGCGAAATCCTTCCCTGCAGTCCGCAAGGCCACATTTCACCGTGCGAAATCCTTCCCTGCAGTCCGCACGGCCACATTTCACCGTGCGAAATCCTTCCCTGCAGTCCGCACGGCCACATTTCACCGTGCGAAATCCTTCCCTGCAGTCCGCACGGCCACATTTCACCGTGCGAAATCCTTCCCTGCAGTCCGCAAGGCCACATTTCACCGTGCGAAATCCTTCCCTGCAGTCCGCACGGCCACATTTCACCGTGCGAAATCCTTCCCTGCAGTCCGCACGGCCACATTTCACCGTGCGAAATCCTTCCCTGCAGTCGCACGGCTTCATTTGACCGTCGCGAAGTACCTCCCTGCAGTCGCACGGCTCTGTTCGACCGTCGCGTCACCTCTGCAGGCAGCCGCGGAGACCCCTCTGACCGTCGCGTCACCTCTGCAGGCAGCCGCGGAGACCCCTCTGACCGTCGAGCAGCAGCGTGACTGGACAGCAGCGGCAGCGGGACTGGACAGCAGCAGCAGCGTGACTGGACAGCAGCAGCAGCAGCGTGACTGGACAGCAGCAGCAGCGGGACTGGACGGCAGCAGCAGCGGGACTGGACAGCAGCAGCAGCAGCGTGACTGGACAGCAGCAGCAGCGTGACTGGACGGCAGCAGCAGCGGGACTGGACAGCAGCAGCAGCAGCGTGACTGGACAGCAGCAGCAGCGTGACTGGACGGCAGCAGCAGCGTGACTGGACAGCAGCAGCAGCGTGACTGGACGGCAGCAGCAGCGTGACTGGACAGCAGCAGCAGCAGCGTGACTGGACAGCAGCAGCAGCGTGACTGGACGGCAGCAGCAGCGTGACTGGACAGCAGCAGCAGCGTGACTGGACGGCAGCAGCAGCGTGACTGGACAGCAGCAGCAGCGTGACTGGACAGCAGCAGCGGCAGAGCTGCACGGTGGCAGCAGGACTCGTGACAGGAGCAACAGTCATGGCGACTGACTCCGTGGCTATTGACACCGGATCCATCGTTCGCCTCGAGGTCCAGGACGGCACTACCGCACTGAATTGGCACCGTTTCTCACAGAGCCTCACCGGCGTCCTCCGCTCCACCATTGTGGGCGGCTTTAACCTCTACTCCGTTGTCTTCGCTGAACCGGATGGCCTTGGGCCCACCCCACCTCCCCTCCTTGGTCTTGAACCTCCTCCTCCTCCACCCCATCCTGGCGAAGCACCTCGCCCGCCCGATCTCCCTCGCCTCGTTTCTGACAACACCACCAATGCCTCGCGCCTCACCACCTACGCGGAGGAGGTGGCGACACACACGCGACTGGTGGATACCCACAAGGCAGCCCTTGCTGCTCACACCACGGCCGCTGCCCTTCAAGCGCAGTACGCTGCTGATCAGACGTCGTACACCTCCCAGCTGACTGATTTCAAGTCTCGCCATGCCGCCTGGTGCATTGCGGACACTCGGGCTATCGGCCTCATCAACTCCTGCATCCCGACCTCGCTCCAAAGCGAGCTTGACGCCACTTCCTCTGCAGTTCTCTGGCGCGCTCTCTGTGACTTGTATGACCGCCGGGACATGGCATCTCTTCATGCCCTCTACCGTGACTTCAACGCTATCACCCTTGACAACTGCACCGGCGCAGCTGACTATACCCGTCGCCTCAACAACACGGCTCGGCGTCTTCGGGAGCGTGGGGCCACTATTGACGACCCCCTCCTCATTTGGCGCATCCTCGAAGGACTCACCCCGGCCTATGAGATGCACCGCATCGCCTACGACATTGTTCTCTCTCCCCACGCCACGGCTGCCGACGTCACCACATGGGTCCTTGATACTGAAGCCAAGCTTACCCGCCAGTCCCCCTCCACCCTCAACTTCACACAGGGATGCGGAGGACGTGGGGGGAGTGGTGGCAAGGGTCGTGGTGGGGGGAGTGGCGGAGGCGGTGGTGGTCGAGGTGGAGGGGCTGGCGGTGGCGCTCCAGGTGGGACGCCGGGAGGTGATGGGGGTGCTGGTCGCGGTGGACGCTCAGGGGGTTTCCCTCCTTGCTCCTATGTCATTCGACAGGGCCCCAACAAGGGCCACCGCTGCAACCAAACCACCCATCCTGCTGAAACCTGCTTCAAGGCCCTCAGTGATGAGTGGTTTGCTCGGGGCAACACAGGTACCCCTCCTCGCTGGGCCACTGTTACCCCTCGCCCCACTGTTCATGACGTTCGAACACTTCCCGCCTATCAGCCACCACCTTCTCAGCTCCACCAGACTCTGGCGAGTCACCTGCCTCCCCACCTCCTGCACCAGGTACAAGTCTTTCTCCCCCCCCTTCCAGACCCGCAGCCTCAGCAGCAGCAGCAGCAGCAGCAGCAGCAGCAGCAGCAGCAGCAGCAGCAGCAGCAGCAGCGGCAGCCGCAGCAGCAGCAGCAGCAGCAGCAGCAGCTGATGCACCCGGGGTTCCAGGGCCTTCCGCCTATGCAGCAGCAGTACCTGGGGCCACAGCATCACCCGGGATTCCTGGGTCCCCCCCTCCTCCCTTATCCTCCCCAGCCACAGCAGTCCCTTCTTCAGCAGCAGCCATACCCTGGCTACCCCTCTGCCCCCCCCAGTGTCTCTGACACCCAAGGCAGTTTCCTTGGTCATGTTACCGTTGCACCCTCTGTCGCTTCCATGTATCCCTCTGCTATTAATGAGACGCTTTTCCAGTACCCCGTGTCACCTCCCCCTCCTTCCTCCCCCACCTTGCACTTTGTCCTTGATAGTGGAGCCACAGAAACCGCACTGAAGGATGCTGGCACCCTCACTCCCCTTCCTCTTCCCACTCAGGTACACGGTGCCGACACCAGTTTTTCCATCCCATGCACTCACCTCTCCACTCTACCTTGCACCGCTTTCCCATCTGGTACTGTCACAGGTCTCCACATCCCCACCCTTCGCAACAACCTCCTCTCCCACCGTGAGATACAAGGCGCTGGTATTACCGCTATTTACCCTGGTAATGCCTCTTACTGTGATCTCTACAACACTGCTTCTGGCCGCTTCCTCCTACGCATTCCCCTTTGTCCTCGCACTCGCCTTTACACGCTCCGCACACCTCGTCCCTCCTTTTGTCAGGTCACCACTCGTGCTGGCACTTCCACCGGCCCCCCTCCCCCTCCCCCTACCCCTTCCCCCCAGGTATCCTCCTCCCCTATGTCATCCCCCTCATCCTCCTCCCCCTCTCCTTCCCCCACTCCATCCCCCTCCTCCTCTAGTCACCTCTCCCACCCTGCTGTGCTCTTGCATCACAGATTAGGCCACCCAAACTTCGCTGCACTTCGCACTGCCATCACATCCCGCCTCCTCGACAGCCTCCCCCCCACTCTTCCTCCCCTCCCCTCCTCCCCCGCACCCCCATGCCCATCCTGCATTCATGGCAAACTCAAACAGTCTCCCCATCACAGCCATCCCACTTTCGCAGCTGCTCCCCTTGACCTTGTTCACATGGACCTGTGGGGCCCCTATCCCATCCGCTCTCGCCAGGGGCACCGATACATGCTCGTTCTCGTCGACGACCATAGTCGGTACTCTACTGTCTTGTTCCTTCACACGAAGGATCAAGTGCCGGCTGTGGTCATTGCCTGGGCTGGGCAGTGCCGCACACACTTTAAACGCCCCATCAGCCGCCTTCACTCTGAGGGTTCCTCAATCATACCCTCGCCACTTACTGCAAAACCCGCGGCATTCAGCAGACCCACACCCTCCCCCATTCCCCTCAGCAGAACGGCATCGCTGAGAGTCGCATTCGTGAGATCACCAAGATTGCTCGTTGCCTTCTTGCTCACGCCTCCACCCCTCCTTCCCTCTGGAGCTATGCCCTCCTCCATGCTGCCCTCCTCCTTAATCTCCGCTCCCACCCTCAGCATTCCTCCTCCTCCCCCACAGAACTTTGGTCTAAGGCCAAGCCTGACGCTGCTGGCCTTCGCGTTTGGGGCTGCAAGGCGTTCGTCCTCATCCCTCCGGCCGATCGCTCCCGCGCTGCTGGCAAGCTCGCCCCTCGCGCTCTGGAGTGCGTCTACCTTGGGCACAATCGCGATTCCCCAGGCTACCTATTCCTCCACCCTCCCACCAATCGCCTCATCCGCAGCATCGACGTCGTCTTCGACGAGTCCACTCCCTACTACTCCACTCCTCCTCCTGACCCTCTCCCTCCTCCCACTCGCCCCCTCGCTTGGACCGACACCGTCCTCCCGCCTCTTCTCCCTCCAGCGCCTCTCCTCCCCCCTGTCGCCGCCCCGCTCCCGCCTTCCTCCTCTGCCGACGTCTACGACCCTGCCGCACCCGCCTCCCCCGCTCACTCAGCTGCACCCCCTCCCCCCTCTCCCTCCTCCTCTCATTCTCCCCCTTTACAACAGCCGGATCAGCAGCAGCATCAGCAAGGGCAGCAGCAGCAGCAGCAGGGGCAGCAGCAGCAGCAGCAGCAGCAGCAGCAGCAGCCGGAGCAGCAGCAACAGCAGCAGCCGGGGCAGCAGCAGCAGCAGCAGCAGCCGGGGCAGCAGCAGCAACAGCAACCGGGACAGCAGCAGCAGCAGCAGCAGCAGCAGCAGCAGCAGCAGCAGGGGCAGCAGCAGGGGCAGCAGCACCTACAGCAGCAGCAGCGACGCGCAACTTCCCGCTCCTCCCCTTTCCTCCTTCCTCGCATGCACACCCGCTCCCTGGACAGACTCATTGGAGCCCCTCCTCCCGCCTCCATTCAGCTCCTCGAGGACTCCCATGAGGAGTTCCTCAACATTCGGCAACACACACCTTTCCTTGCCTCCCTCTACCTTGACTTCCTCGGCTTTCCCGTCCTTGGCGCCACCTCCACCCCAACCATCTTCACTCCCACCACCTTCCAAGAGGCCATCACCTGCCCTGACGCGGACAAATGGATAGCGGCGATCTTCTTGGAGTGTGAGGCATTTATTCGCAACGACTCCTTTGTCGATGTCCCCCTCCCAGCCGACGCCAACCTCGTCGAGGGCAAATGGGTCTTTCGGGTGAAGCAGCTGCCGGGCGAGGAGCCGGTCTACAAGGCACGCTACTGCGCCAAGGGTTTTACGCAGACTTGGGGCAAGGATTTCTGGTTCACCTACGCCCCCACCGCCAAACCACCCACCTTCGCGCAGCCCTTGACATTGGCGCACGTGACAACATGGAGATATGCTCCATGGACGTCTCCAATGCGTTCCTGCAGGGCGACCTGCACGAGCGCATCTTCCTCAGACGGCCCCCTGGGTTCCATGCTGCCTTTCCTGAGAACACCGTCTGGCAGCTGCGTCGCCCTGTCTATGGCTTGAAGCAGGCGCCAAGGGAGTGGCACGCGAAGCTGTCTGCCACTCTGGGGTCCCTCGGCTTCTCTGCATCCCACTCCGATGCCAGCCTCTTCATTCGCTCCTCCCCTCGCCGCTTCTTCATTCTGGTGTATGTGGACGACATGATTCTCCTTTCTGACTCCAAGGCTGACATGGAGCAGATGAAGATGTCACTGCAGCAGCGTCTCAAATGCAAGGACCTGGGCGACCTCACGCACTACCTAGGCATGACCATCACACTCGACCGCCCTGCTCGCACCATCACCCTCTCCCAGTCCCACTAAATCGGCCAGGTCTTGGAGAGGTTCGAGATGGCGCAGGCCAAGCCCGTGTCCACCCCCCTCCCTTTCGGCCACCAGCTCGCTCCGCCCACTTCTCCCTCCACCTCCCCTCACCCCTATGCCGAGCTCGTTGGGTCGCTGATGTACGCAATGATGTGCACCCGCCCCGACCTCGCCTACCCCATTAGCGTGCTCGCACGCTTTGTTGGCACCGGTCGTCACACTGAGGAACATTGGAAGGCTGCTAAGCGGGTCCTCCGCTACCTTCGTGGGACCAAGGACCATGTCCTCACCCTTGGCGGCCCCTCCCCTCCTCTCCTTTCGGGCTTCAGTGATTCCTCATGGGCTGACTCGCAGCCGGACCGCCGCTCCTCTCAGGGCTACGGTTTCACACTTGGCAGCGGCCTTATCAGCTGGCGCTCCACCCGCTCCTCTGCCATTTCTCTCTCCACCTGCGAGGCCGAGCTCTACGCTGGCACCATGGCCGCCCAGGAGTCACGCTGGCTCTGCTTTCTTCTTGCCGAACTTGGCGCCCCCCAGCCGTGCCCCACTCTCTGGTGTGACAACGCCAGCACCATCCACCTCACTCAAGATCCCGTCTATCACGCCCGCTCCAAGCACATCGAACTCCGCTACTTCTTCATCCGCGAGCTCGTCCAGCAAGGCCTCATTTCAGTTCGGAAGATTGCGGCGGAGGCCAACTTGGCCGACATCTTCACCAAGGCCCTCCTTCGCCCTGCGCACTCTGCTTTCCTCCGTCTCATTGGCCTTGCTCGCCCGGGCGCCCCTTGATTCAGGGGTTGTTCTCTTCATGTGTTCGCATGCTAAGGGGTTGTGTTTGAATCTATATATTATAGCATGCGAACACTTGTGACTGTACACCAAGAGTGGTGTACAGTTGGGTTGGTTCAGGCCCTAGTTTTGGGTGTACTGCGGATAGACACCCTAATTGGGGTGAACCCAAATATCCTAGCTTAGACTTGGCTCCAACCTTGTTGGCCAAGTGGGGCAACCAACTTTGGTTGGTTGGCCACCATCCCACTAGGGTTGGTTGGATGGTCCTTCCTCCCACTAGCCTACTTGGTCTTGGTGTCTTATGTGCTAGGTTTGGTGTTCTTCTCCAACCTTCTCTTCCTTGTATATCCTTGTGCTCTCTTGAGCTAATGTTAACAATTCTTTCTCAAGTTTCCATAGCTCCTAGTTTCTTTCAAAGCGGGCCAGGAGAGAGGGGGAGAGGGACAGTGAAGAAGGAAATTCCAGGCACGGCAAGTACATCACCCACTTCACCCACTTCACGAAACGGCTCTCATGACTCGAGAGGAGGAGGGTGAGGATGCACAGCACACAAGAAAGAGCAGCGCCTCAGTGTGAGGAAGCACGTACAGTGCAGCCGAGAGGGATGGGGCAGCCCTCGAGAAACAACAGCGTCTTCACGTTCTTGCGACCACCCCCAGCAGCGGCAGCACCAGCAGCACTGCTCCCACCACCACCAGCACCACCACCAACTCCACTCGCACCTGGCCCACCCCTTCCCCTGCCTGTCGCAGCACCTGCCTCCGCCCCTACTCCACCACTCCCCACCACATCCCACTCCTCCACAAACTTCCTCGTCCAGAACCGCTGGCACTGCCCGAGCCTATCCAGCGTCTCAGCGGATTGAGCCACCTTGGCTCCCGTGCAGCGCGCCACTCTCTCTAAGAGAGAGCGCTTGACGTTGAAGACGAGAGACATGCGGTGCTCCACCATCCACTGCTGCGCGAAGCCGGAGACTGTTCCCTCCACTAGCAGCACACTGCCGCCCACCTGCCCGCCCCCGCCAGCTGGCGGTGCAGAGACCGCAGAGGGGGTTGGGGGGACTGAGGTGGGGGCATTGCTGCCGCTGCTGCTGGCGAGGCTGTGCGTGCTCCCCATGCTGCTGTAACGGGTTAAGCCGCCCGGAGCTGGTGCTTGGTTGTACGTGCTGCTGTTGCTGCTGTATGTGTTGCTGTTGCTGTTGCTGTTGCTGTTGCTGTATGTGCTGTTGCTGTTGTAGGTGCTGCTGCTGCCAGTGCTAATGATGCTTCCCGTGGTGCTGCTGGCATTGCTGCCTGTCCTCCTATGCCCACCCCCACCACCACCCCCAGCAGCAGCACCATACCCACCCCCAAACCCCCCAACAGCAGCACCCCCACCCCCACCCCCACCAACACCACCAAAGGCACCGCTCCCAAGCACCCCGGTCTGTCTCGTCAGCCCTGGCCCCGGCTCCCCTTCGCCCCGGAACCCCCGCCCCCTCGCCCCCACTGCTGCTCCCGTGGGTGTGGTAGGAACAGAGTACATGCCGTGGCTGCTGGGCGGCCCTTGCGGGTAGCCTTGTTGTGGGTAGCCTTGGGGGTAGGCTTGCGAGGGAGCTTGCGAGTAGGCTTGTACAGGGGCTTGTTGGGGGGCAGGGCGCGGGAACTTGCGCTCAATCTTCTGCAGCATGTGGCGCAGATGGGTCTCTTGCTGGGGAGGACAGGCGAGGGATGGGGGAAGAGAACAAGGAGTGGGGGATGAGAAGAAAAGAATGGAGGAAAAGATAACAGTAGAACTATGACCTTGAAAGTGAGGTTCAGATTTAACCGCAGTCAACCTGTGCCTACCTGGGCGAGCAGTGTGTCGATGGAGGAGAGGCGGTTGGGGCAGCGCTGGTACTCGAGGGTGGAGGCGAGCAGAGCGATGTGCGGCCACCGGATGTCCGATGCCATTCTCTTGTTGGCCACGTTCTTTCGACACACCACCCCGTCCACCACACAGCTGCGCGGGATGGGAAGGATGACGGATTAAGAAGAAAAACAAATGAGGAAAACAATGTCCACCTTCCTGTCATCCCACCTATCCACCATCCTGCTATGCTTCCCAGTCCCCCCTTTTGACTGACACGTACCTCTCACTGCGCTTGCCGCCTGCAATGCACTTCACTTTAATATACCCCCCGGGGTCCATATACCCCCCCATCGAGCTCGAGTCCGGCCGAACCAGCGACGCAGCTTCGGACGCCAGGCGCCGAACCACCTCAAGCCACCCTTCCAGGTCTCCCTCGCCCCCTGCCTGCAGCCCCTCTGCTTTGAGCATCTGCTCTACCAGTGCGCTGAAATGCCCCTCCACCACCTCCCTTAGCCTCTCCCGTGCGTCCACACTGCCTGGTAGCACTATGCCCACCCCTGCTGGCACTGCAGCTGCAGCAGCTGCAGAGCCTCCTCCCTCTCTCCCCCCTGTTCGTGTTGCTCCGCCTCCTCCTCCTCCTCCTCCTGCTCCTCCTCCTGCTCCTCCACTGTATACCCCCATCTGTCCATCCCCCTGCCACCCCTCCCCACCCCCATAAACCGAGGATGAACTATCACCATACTGGCCAGTGCTGCTGCTCGCATCCCACCCATCTCCTTCCCCTTCTCCTTCTCCTTCCCCTCCTCCCCTCTCATTCCACCAGCTACCCTCCTCGTCCTCCTCATCCACATATGCAACCGCCCTGCCCCTGCCCTGGATCCCACCTCCCCCAAGTGCAGACGAATCCGGAGGCGGCGTCTCCCAGAGCTTGCTATTCGCCTCCAGATTCACCGCATCTGGACACTCGGAGGACGACGAGCCGTACGACGACTGCAGGTACGGAGATACGCCGAATCCGGACGCCACTCCTTCCGCCGTCTCCTCCCCAGCATCTGCATCTTCTTGGATAGACCGGGGTCTGGGAGTGGCTGATCCAGAGGCAGTGGGAGTAGCAACCACCATCGCTCCGATCCGATCATCCACACCGGACCCAACCACTCCAAACGACCCAGCCCGAACAAGCCCGCTGCTTCCTCCCCCTCCTGCTCCTCCCCCTGTTCCTCCAACCCCTCCTCCAACCTCCCCTCCCCTGTTCCCACCACCACCCACAGCACCACCAGCAGCACTAGCAGCAGCTGCAGCAGCAGCGGTAGCAGCAGAAGCAGAGGGAATGGCAGAAGCAGCGGCAGCAGGGGGGGCATTTAGGTCATCCCCAGGGCGCCAGAGGTCCTGGCTGCCTGTGCGGATGTGCAGCGCCGGCCCCTTCACCACATCATACTGCATCCCTTGTGCTCCTCGCCCCACTGCCTGCTGCTGCTGCTGCTGCTGCTGCTGCTGCTGCTGCTGTTGTGAGTCCGTTAATCCTGTGTTGACAATCAGTCCGCCTACATTAACTGCTCGTGCTCCTGCTGCCAATTCTGCTGCCGCTGGGTTCGCTGATGCTTCTGGTCCTGCTGCCGTTTCTCCTGGTCCTACTGCTGCAGAAGCTGCCGCGGAAGAAGCAGCAGCAGGGGCAGGATCAGGAGGAGTCAGCCCTGTTCTCTCAGTGCCACCTTTCATCTCAAATGCTCTGTTAACGCCGCCCTTATCTTGCAACATCTCACCCGCTCCCTTTGCTCCTGCGTCCCTCACACCTACAACTGCTCCCTCACCCATCTCCCCTCTCTGCCTCTGCTCCCCATGCCTTACTCCCTCTCCCTGCCAAGCAGCAGCATCAAGCGTGATCAAACCACCACCACCACCAGCACCACCAGCAGCGCCACCACCACCACCACCGGCACCACCAGCACCAGCACCACCCCTTCCTGCCTTCCTTCCCAGCGTCCACCTGTCTCTGCACCACCAATCACTGTCCTCCACATCCTCCCCCTCTTCCAACCCAAACCCACTCCTCGTCCTCCCTGCCGCTCCCAAGCCCCCACTCATGCTGTCCCCCCCGTCCACTCGCCCCACAGGGCCCCCTCTGCCAATACCAACCCTGCTCTCTGCAGGTCCAGAGGAGTTGGGAATGGTAGCAGCCGTGACAGTGCGATTGTCGCTAGAGGCATTAGGGACAGTAGTGGCAGCGGTAGAGGCAGAATTAGGGGCATCTTTGATGTCGGCGTGTTGCCCGTTTGTGCTGGGGTGGGGAGGCGTGTTGGGACGTGACAGAGACCGCCTACCATACTCGGCAGCTACTGTTACCGCTTCTGGTAACACAGCAGCTGGAGTGTTACTGGCAACAGAAGCAGGAGCAGCAGGCGCAACAGCAGCAGCAGGCAAGACGGCAGCAGGCCTGGGCCCTCGAGGGGAAATGAGCGAGAACGGAAACGAATCAAGGGCATTAACCGACGACGATTTACCCACAGCACCATTGCCCGCAGCGCCACCACCTCCACCACCACCACTGCCTCCCCCACCACCGCCCATCCTACTCCCCGTTGCCTTCCCCCCACCTAGCCCAAGCCCAAACGTCCTGGTGAACCCGAGGGGGAAGTAAGCGAGGTCCCACATAGATGGGCTCTCCCTGTCGCTCTCCTCCTCTGCTGCCCCGAGATGCTCCCAGCCCCCCCACCCCTTGATTGATCCCAGTCGCTCGTATGGCTCCTTGGGCTTTGGTGGCACGTTGCTGATGGGAATGCCTTTTCTGGCGTCACTGACAGCCGTCTCCTTGCCGCTGCCCTCTCTTGCATGTGAGTTTTCTGGCTCGCTTGGGGAGAGTGTGGTCCCATTGCCTGTCGCAGCTGCTGCTGCTGTAGTGTGTGACGGTTGGAGGGCCTGTGGCAGGGCTTGTACCGGAAGCAGCTTGCTGCTGCTCAGCTCAGTGCCGCTGCTGCTGCTGCCGTCAGTGCTGCTGCTGCCTTGATTGGCATTACTGCTGCCCGTGCCCTTGCTATTCATACTATTCTGTCCTGTGCTGCCGCTGCTGCTATTGCTGCTAGCAGGACCAAGATCCACGAAGCCCCGGCTGCTGTTGCCACCAGTAGTGCTGCCACTAGCAGTGGTGCTGCCACCAGAACTGCCGTTTCCCCTCGCCGCTACATCAGTCTTCGAGATAGGCTGCCAGTCACGCTGCTCCCTCTGCTGGTGCTCAGGCTGCTGCTGCTGCTGCTGCTGCTGGCGCTGCAGGTGATGGTGCCTCGGATCATAATAATGAATGTGACTATGTCGAGCATGGGGTCCCCTCCTCGTTTCCACCTCCCCATCCTCCCCTTCTCCCCCTTCCACTACCGTCTCTCTACCAGCCCTCCACCTCGGGTCCGACCCACTTCTCTCGTTCCTCCCCCCCTCGTGCTGCGCTGCCTGCGCACCAGTGAGCCCCACAAGACTGTCATGTGAAAGGGTCCGCGACTGGAAGCCTACACCAAACCCACTCAGGCCCCCAACAGCAAAGCCACCCAGCCCCAACAACCCCTTGCGTGTTGCCTCCCCTTGACCTCCACTCCCAATACCACCCACACCTCCTCCTCTTCCTCCTACTTCTGCTCCTACTCCTGCTCCTGCACCCCCTCCTGCTCCCCTTCCTGCTCCCCCTCCTCCTGCTCCACCTCCCCTTCCTGCTCCGGCTCTTCCTTTCATACTTTCCTCGTTAATCATTCCTCCTTTACCTGCTGCCGTTGCTGCTGCTGCTCCTGCTGCTTCCGCCTGTGCTCCAATCCCGACTGTTCTGACCCCACTGCCTCCCGAACGAAACTTTTCGCCCTCGTTGCCTTCTTTGAGCCTTTCCCCCGGCCCGTCTCCCCTAGAGTCAGTACTGCCCCTAACTCTACCCCTTCGCCTCGCCCTTCCCTGAGACAGTATATACCCCATCTCCTCCTCCTCCTCTTCCTCGTCCTCCTCCTCCTCCTCGTCATCGTCCTCCTCGCATTCATCCTCATCCTCATCCTCATCCTCTTCATCTTCCTCCTCTTCTTCTTCCTCCTCCTCCGCGTCCTCCTCCTCGTCTTCCCCATAGGCTTCATCATCAATCCTGCAAAAGTTGTATTGTTTGGAGAGAAAAACATTTTTAATACAGAGTAGGGGCGCCACACCAGACACGGTGTTAGAAAGAGAGTGTGAAAGGGAGAGGGAAATACAGACAAAGTCAAAATGATGCCGAAAACTGAAACAACGGAGAATGCACATTGCATGGGACGCATGATGTTGAGGGAGGGCAGTGAGAGAAATTAGATGCAGTCGCAGAAAAAAAAAAAAAACACACACACACACACACACACACACACACACACACATACACCCACACACACACAAACAAACAAACAAATAAACAAACAAACGCCGACCTGTAGTTTGGGTGCCTGAACTCATACTGCGTCCCAACTCCACCACCTTCTCCCACGCCCTCCGCCAATCCACTGCTCTGCTGCCGTCTGAACCCCAAAAGCGCCCCTCCCTCTCCCCTATACCCGCTCCTGCTGTCCCTTCCCCACCCCTCGCCCACTGAAACGCTTTTCTGTGCACCCATCCCCATGACAGGCCCAATGCCAGGCCCATACACTCCCTCTCTACCTATTGCTCCACTCTGACCCCTCCCCCCTCCCAATCCCCTCCTCATCTTCCCTCCCTCCTCCCACTCCCACATATCCCCTTCTCCTCCCCTCCCTTCTCCCCTCCCTCCCCTCCCCTGCACCCCTCCTCCTCTCCCTTCTCCCACCTCCGCCGCTTCCCGAAACGCCGAACCTGCGCCTTTAGGATGGGGGTCTTTCCGAGGCAAGCTGAGAGCCTCGGCGTAACACTGGTCGCACACCCGAACCTTCTCAGTAGCAACATCCTGAACCCCACCACCACCACCACCACCAACACCAACACCACCAGCACCAGCACCACCAGCACCAGCACCACCACCACCGGCAAAACTACCCCCAGCACCACTACCACCACCACCACCACCAGCAGCAGCAGCAGCACCGCCAGCAGCACCAGCACCGCCAGCACCAGCAGCAGGACCAGCGGGCAGGAGCGGGCGTGCCTGGTCGCGGCGCAGGAAGGGCATGGGGATGGAGCGCTGGGTGCATCGGCCGCAGAAGACGCGGCCGCAGCGGCGGCAGTGGTGGCGGCGGTTGAGGATGGTGAACTGCGCGTCACACGCGTAGCAGTGCAGTGCATGGCTGTCCTTCATCCATAAGTCGCGAGACAGTAAATCCGACTTGCTGCTCCCTGTCACTCCCCCCCTGCTGCTGCTGCTGCTACCACTGCCGGTGGTGGTTCTGCTGCTGGTGCTGGTGCTGGTGGCAGCACCAGGAGCGCCAGGAGCGACAGCTGCGCCAGCAGCGCCAGCAGAAGCACGGATAGGGTTGACACGAGAGGTGCCAGTACGGCCCGCGGAGGAGGTACCAGCAGTACTAGCCCTCTCCGCCCTAACAGCCCCTAATCTGCCATCTGGAACCCCTGCTTCTCGTCCCGCTCCTCTTGCTCCTCCTTCTAAGTAACTCATCCCCCCAATGCCTCCTGAACCTGCTGCTGCACTTGTCATTGTCCTGGCACCACTGAACCTACCCGCACCACTAACAGCACCAGTTTCACCATCAAACCCGCTGGTAACATGGTTACCACCGTCGCCACCGCCACCCACAGCAGTTCTCACCGCTCCTCTCCCACCCATCCCCTCACCACTCGTCCCCGCACCCACAATTCCTCCTCTTCCATAGCCACCTCCCCCAGATCCACCTCCCCCTGCATCCCTACCCCCCGGAGGCAAACCAGCACGAGTTGCGCCGGAAGTCCCGCCGCGCTTCGCGGTGGAAGTCGCCTGGCTGAAATTCCGGCGGGAAGAGGAGGAAGTGGATCCAGCGGAAATTCCGGCGCCTGATGCGCTCAGAGGCTTGTTGCTGGTGGTGTCGCTAACGGGTGGGACGTACGGACCGAAGGAGAGGAGAGAGGAGGAGGAGGAATCCGGGCCTGGAGCAGTGGATGCGCGGGGGCTTGTTGCTGATGCTCCTGATGCTCCTGAAGCGGATTTTGGCGGTTCCGGACTTTGCCGTTTGGGTAAGAATAGGCCGAAACCGAAATCCATGATATCCGGGATCTAGAATCGCCGGAAACTGCGGAAGGTTGTGAACGAAAGCTCACGACGGTGTTCCGGCTTTAAAACGGGTGTGACCATGCAAGAGATGACAGAAACGGAAGTCGTTGATCCCGAGTTGCTAAACGCGAATCTCAATCGTACAAAGCATCTCGTGCCTGAATCCTGAAAGAACGCATCCTCGCCGTATCCTGAAAAGGTTCATTACAAAAGCCGAACATCTGCAGGTGAGCACAACACAGTTTTAACGCTCGCCCAATCGTGTTGTGTGCTCTTAATTCGTCGGATACGTAGACCGTAATCCCTAGCTTATTTCTCGATAACCGTCAGGAACGGCCTTAGAAAGTGAGAAAGGGAGACTCAATGAATTCGCGAAGCCCCGTCGCAGCCGAGCGATACGATAACAGTTAGAGCGTGAATCGAGACGACGCGAGCGGAGGGTATAATAAGCGTGGGGCGTGCTTAGCACGAAACGCGCCGTTTGCATATCATCCACGCGCGCATGTCGCCGCAACTCACGGTGGGCCTGCAGAACAAAACGCAGCTGCGGTAACGAATATGGGAACATCTGGATAACGGGATGGATGTGGGTGGGTGAATTCAATCTACGTCATCTGCTTTCAGCTTGGGGAATCGTCCCCAGCCTCCGTCCACTCATCGTTCATTACAGTTCAGTGGTTTTCAGAGCGGTAGACAACGGTTTAAGAAGTTCACCTATCTGGACCGAAAAGCACCGAGCTAAAGCGTGATGAGAGGGCGAAATTATGTGGAATGCTGTAGATGGCGAGCGAACCAAGGGTGGAGCAAGCCGAGCCGACAGCATCCCACAGATCGCCAAGGAAAGCGTTACAGTACGGTGCCTTACGCTTTTAGAATGGTATGGTACGAAGCCGTGAAATAAAAAGCCTGGGACTGCTTGACCAAAAGAAGCTGAGTTGGGCAGCCAGGAAGGCAGCCAATGGTCATCGGCTTTGGCGCGCAGGAAACCTGCCGCGTTATGGCTGGCCGGTTGATTGGGAATGGCTGCCTTGGGACTGGTTAGGTTTGGACGCAGTTTTATTGGACGAAAACGGAAGTTGCTGTTCGGAGTTCATAAATTGGGTCACTCTCGTTTGCTGAAACGGGCTTCGCCTCGATTTTCTCCAATTCGCCAACTCTGCGGGTCGTAGCCGAAGTGAAATGCACACTGATTGTTTCGGCAACCCTTGAGACGTTTCACGTGCGGTTTCACAACCAGCTACCACCTTTCCTTGATATCCATCCATTCCGAAACTAAGGGCCGTTTCACACTTGTAGCGAGCCAGGAAAGGGCTCTGAACACTGCGCATCCTACTGCATTACTACACAAGAGTTGTTGCCTCAACCGTCACTAGCTTCCACATTCGGTTGTATGGTGGGCGAGCTAAGCACCTTTAGAGGTGCCGCGCATTTACACACCGCAGCACTCAAGCTTTTTGACGATTAGGTATCACAAACATTCTCCGGGCCCACTTCGCATTCCTCTGTTGGAATTAGGGAAAAAACCACACGCCGTCGCACGGTTTTTGCACGCTCGTCGTACACTTGTCGCAGTGCAACATGGCGAAAGGTGGACAGCAGCCGTGCGTCGTGTGCCAGTCGCAAGCCGCCAAATACAAATGCCCCACGTGCCTCTCTCCCTAGTACGTCTGCTGGGCGCTCAACCCTTAGACGTACACATTCCTTACACCTCGAAACTCGCCATTTTGTAACACCTGTATTTGTGGCCTTCGTCCATCCCTCTTTCCCCCTCCCCCAATTCCTCCCCTTTTTTCGTTCCTTCTCTCTGTCATCCGCCATTCTCGTCCCTCGTGGCCCTCCCTGCGCCGCCTCTGAAGCTGCTCCGTCGCTTGCTGCAGAACGCATAAAGGTGAGCCCGAAGCTACTCTAACGCGTACAGAAAATTTAGGGGCTGAGTGAGACGGGAGGCAGGGATCAGGGCTAGGGAATTAGGTTCAGGGTTCGGGGTTCGGTTTAAGGAGCTGACTTTTGAGCCGACTCCAAAGTCGCAGGGTTCAAGGCTAGGGGTTCAGGTTCAGGGTTCAGGGTTGGGTTTAAGGATTTTGTGATCCGGGTTTCGGTCAGGAATTTGTATGTGCTGCTTGTTAAGGTTCTTTGATGTCTTATATTGAGGTATTCGCGTGCAAGATATACGCGCTCTCTTCCGCGCTCTCATAAACGCCAAACCTCACACTAGCATGCGCGCACGCACACAAACACACACTCGCACGCACACGCACACGCACGCACGCACTCACGCGCGCACACACAGAGACACACACGCAACCACTTTCTCCCATCGCCTCCCCCCCACGCAGGTTCTCTTTCCCTCCCTGAAGTGCCATGGATCGTTTTAGGTTCCTCTTACCACTCCCTCCGTCCTTCTCTCTTTCGCACCCGGTCGCTCACTCTCTCACCGTCTCCTCACCCGTTCCCAACCACCCTGTACCTTCTCACTCCTCTGCAATACCCGTGCACCGCATAGAACCTCTCTTTACCACACTCACTCCCCTCCCACCCCCCGTCGTTCGCCCTGCAGAGACGCCATGCCAACCAAGGGAGCAGCCGGCCACGTCAGCAGCAGAGGCAGGAGCTACAGCCGCCACCACAGCAGATTCCCAAGGCATCGCCGGTCCAGACAGCAGCGGCAGGGGGAAGCAGCCTGTGCGGCCATTTGAGGAGTGTGAGGATGAGGACGAGCTCTCGTGGCGCCTTCCCTGCAGCACACTCAGAGAAATAGGTGAGGATCTGTGTTTATGGGTGATGTGACAGCACCGGTCCAGACAGCGGCAGCAAGGGCAAGCAGCCTGTGCGGCCGTTTGTGGAGTGCGAGGATGAGGACGAGCTTTCCTGGCGCCTTCCCTGCAGCACACTGAGAGAAATAGGTGAGGAGCCGGCACTCAGTTACCCTTTTGTGTCCCCATTCCCAGCTTCCGTCTCACTCTTCGCCTACGCTCTTCTTCCCTTGCCCCACCCACTCACAGCGGACGGACGATGCAGCGTTGAGGCAGAAGTTGAGGGGCCACGAGTTGCAACGCGTGCTGCTCCTCACTTTCCTTACTCGCCTATTCCCTTCCTCCCCTGCCCCACCCACACAGCGGATGATGCAGCGTTGAGGCAGCAACTGAGAGACCATGAGCTGCAGCGCATGCTGCTTCTCATCGACAGCTCCCCGCACCCAGAAGCAGTCAGTGCCCGCCCCTTCCCATTCCCATTTGCGTTCTATTTACGTCTCAAAACAAAGCCTTGAGAAGTCTCAGTAAGCGCATGCTTCTCCTCATCGACAGCTCCCCACACCCGGAAGCAGTCAGTGTTCGCCCCTTTCCAGTGCCTCTTGCGCTCTATTTACGTCTCAAAGAATATTCTGAGAAGTATCAATTAGATAAGCGCATGCTTCTCCTCATCGACAGCTCCCCATACCCAGAAGCAGTCACTGCTGCCATCCACCTTCCTCCTCCCTTTTCGAGCTCCAGTTCTTCGCCTTTCCTCGTCTCAACTTTCATTTCTGCCTTGTTTGATTGCCAAAATTTCACCTGTGTAGTTACTCAGCTGTTTGCATTGCCGTATCTCATCCCATGCTCCTCAAATCAAAATTCTCAACGCCCCAATACCTCACCACCCCCACCCACCCCCCCCCCCCCCAATCATGCTATCTCAACCCCTCTCATCCCCTCGCCATGCTACCCACCAGGCACTAGAAGCAGCGCGGTCGCATCCTGCTTTTGCCAAGTTCCTTCAACAGGCAATCCTCTCAACCCCTCTTAACCCCTCTTGCCCCGGCTCCGTTCCTCTCTCCTACTCTTCTCTTCTCTCGCCCCTCTCGCCCTTCCTGCCTGCTTTTCTCCCTCGAGTTGCACCTCACCTCATCTCTTATCTCTTTGTCAGCAGCCTCAAAAGTGGTTCTATGGCTGATGCGTTTCCTCCCTTCCCTCTTCCTTTTGATGATTGTGTTGTGTCCTCCTGTCCTTGCAGGTCCAAAAGCACTTGCCTCTAGCAAACTGACTGCCTGACTGACACCACACATGCAGAGTTTGGTGTTGTGGCTGAAATACTAAAAAATAAAGTTGCTAACCACCCTACATCCCCTGCTACTGTGTTGAGGCGCCTCAGAAACAGAGTTGTTTGTGGTTGAAGGCTGCTCAGCTAGCTCGTATCACCATCCTACCTCCCCTGCTACTGTGTTGAGGCGCCTCAGAAACAGAGTTGTTTGTGGTTGAAGGCTGCTCAGCTAGCTCGTAGCACCATCCTACCTCCCCTGCTACTGTGTTGAGGCGCCTCAGAAACAGAGTTGTTTGTGGTTGGGGGAGCTCAGCTAGCTCGTATCACCATCCTACCTCCCCTGCTACTGTGTTGAGGCGCTGCGGAAACAGAGCTGCTTGTGGTTGAAGGCTGCTCAGCTCCTACAACCACCCTACTCCAGGATGCTTAACACACGGAATATACGGTAGTAGTGAACATGTTTAGGAGGCCCACGTGAAGCGAAATAGCTGGCATTGAGTTGGGAAAAGAAAAAGCATGCATTACAAGAGAGCCCAGCACATACAAGCTTCAACCCATACCGTATGTCACAACACACACACACACACACCACACTTCTACAGACACAACACGCTTCTACAAATCAGCTCTACTTGCACACTGGGGGCTCAGGAAAGGGGGAAAAACTGCCCTAGTCATTCAGGAGGGAATACCGAAACTGTTCTTGCTTTAGTGCCTGCACGGTCCCCGCCACGAGCTCACGGGTGTGCCGCTTTCACGCTAAGCCAGGCGACAGCTTCACGGGCGTGGTGGTGGTTGTCTTGCTCGTGTCGGCCAATAAAGTCACGGAAGACTGCGACAGTTTCACAGGCGTGGTGGTGGTCGATTTGGTCATGTCGGCCAATAAAGTCACGGAAGACTGAGACAATTTCACGGGCGTGGTGGTGGTTTTCTTGGTCGTGTCTGTTATAGTCACAATAGGCTTGAATGTGCCTAAAACGAAAGATAGAGAGCACAGACGGATTTCTGCACAGCGGCTTCAAACGTTGATAGCGTTCTGCTCACAGCTGCAAATGACTTGATTCAAATTGGATCTGGAGCGTCTTCACGTCGCCTACAATTATCAATTTAGATTGCACGATTTGATAAAGAATTGACGACACAGCGTCGGTTTGAACGAACGGTACTATGGCAGCCACTATAGTCTTAGAACACAAGATAGGAAGAGCTAGCAAGGGTTACGAGTTGGGAATGACTCCCAGCTCCTACAAACCCCAAGAGCCGAGGTACAGTGATGTGGAACAGTGCCACACTGTCCCCAACCACGAAGGGTCTCGAAACTACCCTTCACTAGGGCCTACACCAAGTGAAATGTTACACTACACAAAGTAATGTAACTATCTTCAATATCTTGAGGTGTACCCTTTTTTGCGAGCTTCGAAATCACTTGAGGCTTGACACCAAGGCTCGGGCTCTTCATCACAAACTCATCCGTGAGTTCTTGATGGGTCTACTGCACACACCTGCGACACACCGAACGTTTGACACAGGACAAAATAGAAACCGCGCACGACAAAATAGAAACCGCGCGCGAGACACAAACAACCGCGTAACACGCGTCTAGCGATAACTCGCTATTGACTCGACACACACACTTGACATCATGACTCAACATTCACACACAATTATAAGCATGAAACATATATTATCCCATGCCCTCATACCATTCCATACACATACACATGCACGCACACGGACAACAAGCCGAGTGCAAACCGTAGGGTTGCACCAACAAACTCCCCCTCGGATTGTTGGCCTTAGGATATGTTGCTCTCTCAGTTCAGAGCCATCGCAGCCAGCTTGCAACACTTCCAATGCTGCTGCTCCACCAGCCTCTTGGTCATCATGTCAGCCGGCTGCCCCGTGGTCTTCACGTAGCGCAACTCAACTTCACCCGCGGTTACCATGCTCCTCGTCCAATGCCACTTCACCCTCATGTGCTTCGTGAGTCCATGCAACACAGGGTTCTTAGCAAGAGCAATGGCACCCTGGCTGTCACAGTACAGTGGGGTAGGTCCTTGCTGCTCCTCCCCCAATTCAGCCAACAAACGCCGCTGCCACACAATCTCCCGTACGGCACGGAAGAGTGCCATGTACTCGGACTCCACCGAGCTCAAAGCTTGGTCAACCTGCTTCTTGCTCTCCCAAGCAGTTGGGCCTCCACCAACACAGCATATGAAGCCTCCCACACTTGTCATGTCCTCTGGTTCTGATGCATATGAAGCATCCGAGTAGGCGGTGAGGAACAAACGCCCGGGTTCAACACCATCCGCGCCCTTTTGGCGCCTTTGTGCCGCCGCCGAGTATTGCAGCCCAACGGTCGGTGTTTGGCCAAGATACTTGGCCACCCTCATTCCAGCTGCTACCTGCTCCTCATTAGGGCATTGCACAACCCTAGCCAGCTGCCCGGTAGCAAACGCGACGTCCGGTCGGGTGTTTACCGCCGCATACATGAGGCTGCCCACCAACGAGTGAAATCGGCGCCTCTCCTCTTCACCAACGCTCTCCTCCTCTGGTCCCTTCACACACTTGAACCCAGAGGGAAAGGGTGTAGCCACATGGCCTTCACTCTGCCCAAAGTTGGCAGCCAATGCCTCCAGGTACTTTCGTTGATGCACCCGCATGCACCGCTTCTCCACATCTCGTTCGATGTGGAGCCCAAGGTAGAAGCTCACGTCACCAAGGGCCTTGCACTTGAACTTGTCTTGAAGCTTCAGCATCACCTCCTTCACAAGGTCAGAAGAGGGTGAGAAAATGAGGATGTCATCCACATAAACCACCATGAAACTCCTCTGCTCCCCCTCGCCAAGCATGAACAAGGAGTGATCGGCCGTTGAGGGAGTGAAGCCGATCCCCTCCAACACTTCGCGCAGCTTCATGTACCATTGCCTAGGGGCCTGCTTCAGCCCATAGAGGGCCTTCTTCAGCTTCCACACTCTGCCACTACCATCATCAAACCCCTCTGGCTGCGCCATAACAATCTCCTCCTCAAGGATGCCGTTAAGGAATGCCGTTACGATGTCCATTTGCTTTACTACCCATCCTTTGATGGCGGCTCCCGCGAATAGGGTTCGCAGCGTCGTCGGCTTCACCACAGGGGCAAACAGCTCCTTGAAGTCCACCTTCTCCTTCTGCTGGTACCCCTTGGCTACAAGCCTAGACTTGTAGCGCTCGATCTTGCCGTCGGCATCCGACTTGATTTTGAAGAGCCACTTGGACGTTATCGCCGTACGCCCCTCCGGTAGCTCCACCAATTCAAACGTGTCATTCTCCTCGATGCTCTTCAGCTCACTCTCCATGGCCTTCTTCCACTCCTCAGCATCACTACTCTCCAAAGCCTCCTTGAGAGTTGCTGGTTCTCCCGGCATCTCCACCGGAGAGAAGAACGCGAAGGCACACTCCTCGTAGTCACTCTCCTCGTCGTCTCCGACCATCATTGCCGCTCCGGCCAGGGCTGTCTTGCCCTGCTTTCCCGGCGCATCATAGGTCAGCCTATTAGGGGGTTGAACTCTCCTCTTCCCCCTTCCTTCCTCCTCAGCTGCAGGGACTTGAAGGCCTTGGCGTTGCTGCGGTGTGGCTCGAATCCGTGGAGCACTCGTAGTACGGGAAGGGAGTGACGGTGCACGCTCGCTCACTTGCTGCACCTCCTCCTCTTCTTCCTCTGCATCATTGGCCTCCTCTCCCCCATTCACAAGGGAGGATTGCCTTGTGGTTGTGCTGCCGCTGCTCAGCTCCAAAGGCAGCTCCACATGCTCCAAACCGGAACTCTTCACCTCCCCAAACCGCACGCCTATCTTCGCCTCATTCTCCGCCTTCCAATCCTTGTACATGAAGTTCTCCATGAACTTGCAGTCCCTGCTCACCAAGAACTTCTTGGTGAATGGGTCCCAAAGAATCCCTTGCTGTTTTGAGCCATGCCCAAGTGCACGGCCCACACCGCCTTGGCACCAAGCTTGTTGTGCCGAAGATGCTTAGGCACGAGCGCCATGCACATGCACCCGAACACCCGAAGCATATCCACCTTTGGCTTCCTTCCTAGCCACTCCACATAGGGCACCCATTTGTCTGCTCCCACATGAGTCAAGGCTCTGTTCTTGGCCACACACGCGCTCCGCACCGCATCAGGCCAGAAATAGTCGGGTAACCCGGCTTCAATGAGCAACCCGCGTGCCGCCTCCGTGATTGTGCGGTTCGCTCGCTCGGCGATGCCGTTCATTGCAGGGGAGTATGGCATGGTGAGGGAGTGCCGAATACCATTCTTCTTCAGCCACAACCCAAACTCCTTGCTCAGGAACTCTCCCCCTCGATCGGTGCGGATTGACTTGACTAGACGGTCTTGTTGCCGCTCCACCATCGGGAACCAATCCGTCTTCAACGTTTCAGCCACGTCGCTCTTCTTGGCCAGCACGTACACCCAAGTCATGCGGGTGTAGACGTCGACAATGGTGAGAAAATACTCAGCTCCAGCAGCTCCAAGCTTCAGGGGGCCCACCACGTCCATCACCACCTCATCAAGCGGTGCCTTTGCCGTTGCCTCCGAACTAGGGAACGGAAACCGGGTGAACTTGGCTTGAATGCACGTCGGGCAGCCAAGCACCTCATCGGGCTCCCCCTTCACACGTATGCCAGCAACCATCTCATTCTTCACTAGCTGCTGCAAGATGGGCAGGGCCACATGCCCCATGCGCCGATGCAAGATGAGCCAATCACACTCCCCCGTAGCCGAAGTTGGATTGGAGAATGCCGCGCTCGCAATAGCGCCCCACATACTCTCTCCGTAGTCCTCCTCCGCTGCTGCCTCTGGGTTCTCCTCACCCTTTTGCTGCTCCTTGGTTGCTGCACCACTCTCCTTAGGTTCACTGAACTTGCTGGTCCCTCCAGGTTTGCTCTTCTTGAGCTCATTCTCCTTAGCGCGACCGTTCGCGCCATCGTCGCTACCGACCGCTCCATTCTTGGTGCTGATGCTTGCTGCCACTTGCCTCTCCTTAGGCATAGGGACCACTGGGATCTGCCACATCTCGTTGTAGACATCCCTGTCCTCATGAAGGTCCCAAAGAATTCGATCGCCAAGCCTTGCGGTGTAGGTCTTGGCTCCCTTCGAGTTCGTGTCCATGCCGGCCTTTGCCAACCGCCGCACGGAAATCAGGTTTGCAGCAAGGCTGGGCACCCAAAGCACGTTCTTGAGGCCCACCATCTTCCCATCAGCACCCTTGAACATGGCCTTGCCCATGCCTTTCACCTCTGCTCGCTGCCCCAAAGCCGATGTGACATGCTTCACCGGTGACGGCTCGAGTTCGGTGAGCAAGTCCGAGCGAGGTGTCATGCTATAGGTAGCGCCACTATCAATCACCCAATAGTCCAGGGGGTGTAGGGTCACCTTCCCCACAGCTGCTGGCTCCTCAAAGCCTTCATCCTTCTCTGGACCAGCCGGTACTTGCGTCGACACGAAGTAGAATAGACCCGGGTATCGATCGTCGCTCGGGTCCTTGTCGTTGTCTCCGCTCTTCATGTTTGCAGCTCCGCCACCGCGACCGCCACGGCCTCCACGGCCTCGTCCTCTCCCTCCTCCTGCTCCTCTACCCTCTTGGCCTTGAGCAGGGGTCCAACCATCAGGGAGTTTGTAGCAGTCGCGCCACATGTGTCCGCTCTTGTGGCAATAGTGACACTCGCCGTCGAATCGGCCGCGACCGCGTCCGTAGCTCTTGTCGTCGCTGCCGTAACCGCCACTCCTGCGACCTCCGCCGAAGTTGCTGCCACCAAACCTTCCTCCCCCTCGTCCTCTGCCTCTTCCTCGACCATATCCACGGCCGATGCTCGCTGCCCCAGCGCCATCCGCACTCGCCAACTCACGGCGGCGGAAATCCTCTTGAATGATAGCTCGCTTCACGTCTTCAAGCGAGAGGCGGGGCAAGTCGCGATTAAGGTTGATGATGAGCGAGGACCATGACTCTGGGAGTAAGGCCAGCAACTTGGTCTTCTTTTGGAGCTCACTGTAGTTCAAATCAGCTCCCTCAAGCCGCGTCAACAAGTCGAAGAATTTCTGCACCCCTTCTTCAACCGCTTCGTCTTCTTCAATTCGTAGTGCCGCCATTCGCCGTTCCAACACCACCGCTACCGCCGCTGTTGCAGGAGCATGTACACCCTTGAGAGCAGCCCATGCCTTTGGTCCTTTCTCTGGTTCACGCTGGAATGGCTTGATGTGACGGATCTGACTGCTCCCCAACGCTTGCCCAAGTAAGAGATAGCCTTGTGCGCTCTTCCGCACCCACGGGCTCTTCTCCGGGTCGTTCTCGGGGCGCTTCTCCGTTCCTTCCATCACCTCCAGCAGGTCATAGTGGTCAAAGATGTTCTCCATCTTGAAGGACCATTCAGCAAAGTTGTCACCGTTGAACTTGTCAAGCCCAAACACCCTAGGCTCATCCCTAGGTGGGCCAAGACTTGGTTGCATGGGCGCCATGGCTGAATCACGGGGTTGGCCTTGAGCTTGAGCTTCTCCACTGCCACCAGCACCTCTGCCACCCCTTTCCTCAGGTCCAGACATTGTCGAAACTGCTCCAAGGGGCTCTGATACCACTTGTTATAGTCACAATAGGCTTGAATGTGCCTAAAACGAAAGATAGAGAGCACAGACGGATTTCTGCACAGCGGCTTCAAACGTTGATAGCGTTCTGCTCACAGCTGCAAATGACTTGATTCAAATTGGATCTGGAGCGTCTTCACGTCGTCTACAATTATCAATTTAGATTGCACGATTTGATAAAGAATTGACGACACAGCGTCGGTTTGAACGAACGGTACTATGGCAGCCACTATAGTCTTAGAACACAAGATAGGAAGAGCTAGCAAGGGTTACGAGTTGGGAATGACTCCCAGCTCCTACAAACCCCAAGAGCCGAGGTACAGTGATGTGGAACAGTGCCACACTGTCCCCAACCACGAAGGGTCTCGAAACTACCCTTCACTAGGGCCTACACCAAGTGAAATGTTACACTACACAAAGTAATGTAACTATCTTCAATATCTTGAGGTGTACCCTTTTTTGCGAGCTTCGAAATCACTTGAGGCTTGACACCAAGGCTCGGGCTCTTCATCACAAACTCATCCGTGAGTTCTTGATGGGTCTACTGCACACACCTGCGACACACCGAACGTTTGACACATGACAAAATAGAAACCGCGCACGACAAAATAGAAACCGCGCGCGAGACACAAACAACCGCGTAACACGCGTCTAGCGATAACTCGCTATTGACTCGACACACACACTTGACATCATGACTCAACATTCACACACAATTATAAGCATGAAACATATATTATCCCATGCCCTCATACCATTCCATACACACACACATGCACGCACACGGACAACAAGCCGAGTGCAAACCGTAGGGTTGCACCAACAGTGTCGGCCATTGCGGTAAATCTCGTCGACAACTTCACGGGCGTGGTGGTGGCTGACTTGGTCGTGTCGGCCATTGCGGTCACGGTCGACTGCGACATTTTCACGGGCGTTGTGGTGGTCGATTTGGTCGGGTCGGCCATTGTGGTTGTGGTGGCCCAGGACATTTTCACGGGCGTGGTGGTGGTTGTCTTGCTCGGGTCGGCCATCGCGGTGGCCATTTTCGTGGGCAACGACGGGATCTGTGGCTTGAACGTGACTGCCAATTTCACGGGCGTGGTGGTGGTTGACTTGGTCGGGTCAGCCATCGCTAAGGTGGTGGATTGCGCCATTTTTACTGTGGTCGGGGTGGTCGTGGTGGTCAACGTTTTCGTGAGTTTCACGGCGGTCGGGGTGGCCGCGGCGGACTTCTCGAGGTGATACACAGTCCCGCCCCAACCAGCTACCATTTCACAGCGGTCGGGCTCGTGGTGGTGGTTGTCTTGGTCGGTGAAGTCGTTGTGGTAGTGGTCGACACCGACAATTTCACGGGCGTGGTGGTGGTCGCGGCGGATTTCTCCAGGTGATACACAGTCCCGCCTCCCCCAGCTACCAATTTCACGGCGGTGGGGCCCATGGTGGTGGTTGACTTGGTCAATTTCACGGCGGTGGGGCCCGTGGTGGTGGTTGACTTAGTCAATTTCACGGCGGCCGGGCTCGTGGTGGTGGTTGTCTTGGTCGGTGATGTCGTTGTGGTGGTAGTGGTCGACGTCGACAATTTCACGGGCCTCGTGGTGGTGGTCGACTTGGTCGGGTCAGCCATCGCTAAGGTGGTGGATTGCGACATTTTCACGGCGGTCGGGGTGGTCGCGGCGGATTTCTCAAGGTGGTACACAGTCCCGCCCCCCCCGCCAAGTGCAGTTGATCCCAGCATGCGCCGCGTGGCGACGATTCCCTTGGATGCTGCAGCGCAGAGAGCAACGGAAGGGATTAGGTCGAGAGTAGTCTATACTACTATCATGGTAGTAGTGCCCGAATAAACCGATGCAGAATTATATCAATTGGAGAGGCGGTGTATATCGAAGCTGAATGTTACAACCGAAACTGAACGGAATAATGCACCGTGATACGAGTAGACGCGGAGCTTACCTGCGGCGACATACGATGCTGACGTCAGGAGCAGCACAAACAGAAGCACCGGCAGCACCGCCGTGGTGGCAACACCTTGCTTTGACCGAGCCATAGTTGGCAAAGGAGTTAATCCCGACTCGCAAAACCGGTGAGAGGAGGAAAACCGGTGAACAAGCAGAACGGGTAAGTGGATGGCTAGGAAATCTGCTAAGAATGTGGGTGACGGATGGGATGACGAGCATGTTTTATAGGCGTGATAATGCGCGCTCCCGCACACCAATTTCGTCTTGCCAGTGCAAGGGTGGGGAGGGGAGGGATTCGAGTCTCTCACGGGAGAACATTTTGGCGGGAAGATGCTACATTGGAATCATCAAATGCGGCAGTTGCGGATTGCGCAAGTTTCGCAGGCGTGCGATATTTCGCCATGCGGTTACTCTGCCAAGCCCGGCGGCTACGCATACCCAATCAGCCCAAGTCAGGAACTTTCGCAAAACTCTCGAGGCGCAGGTTTCAGCGGAGAGGTTCACACATGATATTTTTTCACATGGTTTGGTCCTATTGGTGACGGTCGGCATGTTGGAGGGAATTCCGATAGTTCTGATTCAGCCCGAAACAATAACAGTGGGTAGACTCGCTAGCTTGATCATTGAGCCAGAAAGCTCGATACCACTGTCAAAATCCTGGACCACGTATATAAAGACTGGAACTAGGAACCAATCGTACATACAGAACTGAATTGACCTCGAGTGAGAACACAAGCATACCAGTACAGGACTAAAACGCATTCTTCCAGCCAAACGAAGGGATATGGGGATAAACCACTGAATATCCCGAAGGAGAGCCACCCTCCGCAATTTTGTGATGACCTCAAAATCGCCTTGTGTGATTCGCCCCAGCGGTAGTCACGGCGTGATGCCAGGCCGCAAAAAATGTTGCACACGTGATCTGATACAAGGTCGCCTTCGTAACACACAGAACATGTTGCCACACATTCTTCAAAACACACCCCCTAAAAATAATTGTGGGTACTTGTTGCAATGCTCTGGGGCGAAGTCAGTACGAGGAGCAGGGCTTACATCCGGGGTATGACGGTACTTGGCGCAGGACAGGCCTCTCTTAAGATTGTTATGCTAATCTGGAGTGTACTCTTCTTGACAGTTATCCACTCCAGAAAAAAACAACTAATCTTCTACTCTGCAACACTGAACAGTGAACACGCAGAAAGAGTCCATGACTTGCCGCAGCACAGGCCGTTCGGAATCCAGGAGCCTCTCGGGCACCTGCAGGCGCAGCTGGTACAGGCGTCTGTTGGCCACTGCCAGCACTGTGAAGTAGCGGCGGTTCCACTCCAGCACCTGCACTCGCTCGTCCGGCATGATGGCCAGCTGGTTGTTGTTGGCATACGACTTCACGTTCAACTGCCAAGGAGCGAGGGATGGGGAATGGGGTGGGAGGGAGACGGTGAGACGAGAGAGTGGGGAAGGGAGGGAACGGTTTGGTGGGGAGGAGAGGGTATGATGTGCTGTTTTGGATTCGCCACTGCTAGCACTGTCAGGAGCAGGAGCACCAGCAGGCAGGAGCGGCCGTGGCTGGTCACGGCGCAGGAAGGGCATGGGGATGGAGCGCTGGGTGCAGCGGCCGCAGAAGACGCGGCCGCAGCGGCGGCAATGGTGGCGGCAGTTGAGGATGGTGAATTGCGCGGCACACGCGTAGCAGTGCAGCGCATGGCTGTCCTTCATCCATAAGTCCCGCGATAACAGATCCGACTTGCTGCTCCCTCGAATCCCCCCCCTGCTGCTGTTGTTTTTGCTGCTGCTTCTGCTGCTGCTGCTGCTGCTGCTACCGCTTCCAATGCCGCTGCTGGTGGTGGTGGTGCCCCTGATGGTGCTGGTGGCAGCACCAGCAGCGCCAACAGCACCAGCAGTGACAGCAGCGCTAGTAGAGGCACGGATAGGGTTGACATGAGAAGTACTAGTAGGGCCGGCGGAGAAGGTGCCAGCAGTACTAGCTCTTTCTGGCCTAAGTGCCCCTATTTTGCCGTCTGCAACCCCTGCTTCTCGACCCACTTCTATTGCTCCTCTTGCTCCTCCTTCCATGTATCCCATGCCCCCCATGCCTCCTAAACCCGCAGCTGCCGTTTTCGTTGTCCTGACACCACTGAACCTGTCCGCACCACTAACAATACCGCTTTCACCATCAAAACCACTTGTAACATGGTTACCACCGCCACCCACAGCAGTCCTCATCGCTCCTCTCCCACCCATCCCCTCACCACTTGCTCCAGCATAAGCCGAACCTCCCCCGGTTCCTCCTCCCCCATAACCACCGCCCCCATATCCACCTCCTCCTGAATCTCTAACCCCCGGCAGGAAAACCAGCGCGAGTTGCGCCGGAAGTCCCGCTGCGTTTCGCGGTGGAGCTGGCCTGACCGCTAGAAGAGGAGGATGTGGAGGAAGTGGACCCAGCGGGAATCGCGGCGCCTGACGCGCTCAAAGTCTTGCTGCTAGCGGTGTCGCTGGCGGTTGCTAGAGGGAGGTACGGACAGAAGGAGAGGAGAGAGGAGGAGGAGGAATCCGAGCCTGAGGCATGGAATGCGCGGGGGCTTGTCGCCGATACGCCTGATGCGCCTGATGTGGATTTTGGCGGTTCCGGACTTTGCCGTTTGGGTAAGAATAGGCCAAAACAAAAATCCATGATTTCCGGGATCTAAAATTGCCGCACTGCAGAAAGGTGTGAGGGTAAGCTCACGACAGTGGCGTTAAAACGGATGTGACCATGCAAGCGATGACTGAAACGGACGTCGTTGATCACGGGTTGCTAAACGCGAATCCCAACCGTTCGAAGCATCTCATGCCTGAATCCTAAAAGAACTCATCCTCGCCGTATCCTGAAAAGGTTCATATAGAACAAGCCGAACAGATGAAGGTAAGAACTACAATAGTTTCAACACTCAACACGTCAGTATTCGTATTGTCAGAATTCGTCGGATACGAAGACCGTAACTCCTTATTCTTCAATGTATCTGATGACACGCGAACGGCCTTAGAGAGTGAGAAAAGGAAAACAATAGATTCGCGAAGGCTTGTCGCAGTCGAGCGATACTAAAACAGTAGTGCGTGCATGATTCGAGACGACGCGGACGGAGGGCATAATAAGCGTGAGGCGTGGTAACACATAACGCGCCGTTGGAAATCATCCACAAACCGCTCTTGTCGCCGCAACTCACGGCGGGCCTGAATACGGAGCGTCTGGATAACAGGATGTATGTGGGTGGGTCAATTCATTCCACGTCATCCACTTTCAGCCAGGGGAATCATCCCTTCCCCAGTCTCAGTGAACTCATCGTCAACTACGGTTCCGTAATTTTCCAAAGCTAAACAACGGTTTGTGCTGATTACCTTTCTGGACCGAAACACACCGATGATAAAGGCGAAATGGTGTGTAGGTGGAATGCCATGGATGGAGAATCTAGGATGGAGGCGAGCCGACAGCATCTTGGGTGGGAAGGAACACCACAGATAGCCAGGTGAAGCGTTACAATACGGTGCTTTATGCTTTCAAAGTGGTACAGAGCAGAGGAAAAAAACTCACAGCTGCTTGACCATCAGAAGCTGAGGTGGGCAGCGTGGAAGGCAACCAATGATCATCAGTTTTGGCGCGCAGGAAGGCTGCCGAGCAATGAGTGGCCGGTTGATTGGGAGTGGTTGCCTTGGGATTGGTTAGATTTGGACGCAGTAATTTGACAACAAAAAAACAGTCAGTTGCTGTTCGGGTGTCACTTTGGGGTGTCTTTCGTTATTTACCGAACGGGCTTCGGTTCGAAGCATCGAAATCCCCAACTCTTTGGTTCGTGCCTGAAGCGAAAACACAATGGTGGATGCGGCCAGGCCACCCCTGAGCTGTTTCATTTTGCCGTTTCACGGCATAATGAACCACCATCATCTTCTGAACTTCTCTCTGAAACTACGCAGTGTCAGAGCCTTTCACACGAATTTCGTGCTTGGAACGAACCAGTATACGCCCCGCTGGCTCACACATTCTGCAATTCAGCACGGAAGATGCTGGTTTGGGCGTCATAAAACTGCCAAATGTACAAAAGCACGACATAGTCCTCCTGACTCCAGCAACAGGCCAGAACTATTGAGCCATCACAATTGACAAGCTACTAGCGCTAGGCTGTATGGTGGCTGAGCAAAAACGATTTCAGAGAAACCGCGGCAAGGCTGCGTTCACACCTTCTCAATCAAGCTTAGGGTTGTGGACCATTAGGTTTCACGAACCGTCGTAGGGCCAACTTCACATTCTTTATAGGGAAGAAGCCACACACCGTCGCACCATAGTCGCACGCTTGTAGTTCACTTGTCGCAGCGCAGCATGGCGAAAGGAGGACAGCAGCAGTGCGTCGTGTGCCAATCGCAAACCGCCAAGTACAAATGCCCCGCGTGCCTCTCTCCCTAGTACGTCCGCTGTGATCGCAACCCAACCTTTGGACGAACACATTCCTTACACCTCGAAACCCGCCAGAGCTAAACATATGTTATCGTAATTTCCTTTTCTCCCTCTGTCCTTCTCCCCCCCTTCCTCCAAACGTTTCTCCTGTCGAAACAGCAGGCACAAGCTAGAAACAGGAAAGGAGAGTTTTCACTAACATGCAGTTGAGTACATATAGCAAACCCTAATTCGGGCTGTACTCGCTATAGAGTACCCCACTGCAGGCTAGACAAACATTACATTCTGACACACCCCCATAGTCAAAGTGGGGTATAATCAGCACAAGAAGCAGGCAGAGCAGTAGTTCACAATGATAAGCAAAGCTAGAGGCAGTCACAGAGGGCAAGTGAGGAGGAGGAGAAACTGTGAGGGCGAGAAGATGAGAGGCGACGGCTGAAGCTGCAGACACACAGGCAGTAGGAGTGCGCAGTACTGTCGTTACCAGGCTAAACCCGGACTACACGGCGACAGACGCAGCTGGCTCACTGTGCTCCCAGGAGTGCACAAACTGTGGCTACCGGGCGCAGAGCCCCGGACTACTCAGGCTACAGGGGGTCGTGGCTCTCTGGACTTCAGGCGCTGCGGACGACAAGTCGGCTACCTCCGGTCAACCTCCCCCAACTGTCCCACACCCCTTTCACACTCCCTGCTGCACCTCTAGCACTGCTCACACGACACCCCCCTTTAAACCCTAAACCCTCCGCTCCCACACACCCACCCCCCTCAGCGGCAGCTGCAGCAGTGGGAGACGGAGGAGGAGGAGGAGCTGCAGGTTACCCACACCGGTCACCCCCATGCCCGCCACCCCCAAACCCTAACGCAGGCAGGAGCGCGGGGAGCAGCAGGGACGGTTCACGGAGGGAAAGGGAGGCGGCGGGGGGTCTCCTGGGCGCCACGAAGGAGCAGGGCGCGGGCCCCCCGAGGGCGCCACGGCGGGTGACGGGAGGGGGGCCGCGCGCGGGCCTGGCGCAGCCCGTACGGGTCGCGCGCGGGCCTGGCGCAGCCCGTACGGGCCGCGCGCGGGCCTGGCGCAGGTCGCGCGGGCCGTGACGGGCGACGGGGGGCGACGCCACAGTCGGCAGGGGGCGACGCGCGGTTCGACGGGGCAGAAAACCGCCGCGCGCCCCGAGCGCGCGGCGGGAAGAAAAAATCGCTGCGTGCCCGGAGCGCGCGGCAGGCAGGAAACAGCACGCGCCCGGGGCGCGTTACAGGCAGTAGAGCAGCGGAAGCATCGGGTGGGGCCCACCCACAGGATCGACCCAGGAGGGTCGACCTGCTCTGATAGCATGTCGAAACAGCAGGCACAAGCTAGAAACAGGAAAGGAGAGTTTTCACTAACATGCAGTTGAGTACATATAGCAAACCCTAACTCGGGCTGTACTCGCTATAGAGTACCCCACTGCAGGCTAGACAAACATTACATTCTGACATCTCCCGCACTCCCCCTGATTCTCCCCCCTGTCATCCACCTTCCTCTTCCGCCTCGCCCCCTCTTTGCGCCACCTCTGAATGTGCTCCGTCGCCTGCTGCAGAAAACATAAAGGTGAGTCCGAAGCTACTCTCTAATCTGTACGGAAAATATAGAGGCTGAGTGAGACAGGAGGTAGGGTTCAGGGCAAGGGATCCAGGTTCAGGGTTTGGGGTTCGGGATTCGTTGTCTGGGTTTGGGTGAAAAGGATCCATTCTTGTTGCGTGTTGAGGATCGCTGGTGCCAAATTTCGGGATACACGCGCGAGATATACATACTATGTATCCCCTTCAACGCTCTCATACACGCCAATTCCCCCACAGCGGCGCACACGTGCTGCGCGCGAGCGCGCACATACACGCACATACACGCACACACACACACGCGCACACACACACACGCGCGCGCGAGCGCGCGCGCGCACACACGTTTTCTCCCATCGCCTTTCCGACAGGGATT